GCGAGTAGTCCTCCTGAGTTCGATTACTTTGACACAATCAACAGAAAACCATTCAGCAAAAGAATCTTAAATGCTTTGACAAATATTTACTTGAAAATAAAACTTAAATTTTGGAGAACAGGTTGGGACAATGAGCGGTACTTGTTACAACATACTACCACAAGTCACCAACGTTTCCCTTATCTACGTACGATTCTTATTCTGGCCATTATTTTGAATGTGATATATTTTACATTTTATATGTATGTATCGTCTGGTGACTGGCTAAACTCTGAAAGCACAAGGACATACATAGGATGGGTCCTTATGATGGCTTTTTACATCCCGTTCATAGGTCTCTATCACTTTCAAATCTTCCTCTCGGGTCGTTCTAAAACAATTCTCCTTAAAAATCCAATCACAGTGTCAAGTGGTCTCGTACAGAGTCATGACATTGTTCTATTGTTGAGCGGTGGTGGAATATATATGCTCAATATTTTTCGTTTGGTGGGAGCTTTGGGCATCTTAATGCGCTTTGCTACTAAGGCTCAAGATGAGATAGCTCTTGCTGCTTTCTCTATAGTATACGCTGTTTTCCAATTTTACATTGTTTGGACAATGACGTCTTTCTTACTCATAATCCAACGCAGGAAATTCACAAGTGATGCAGAAGTCAAATGGGTTTTAATTTGCCTCATCTATACTTTTGTTGCAAATGCATGTAACTGGCTGATAGGTTTATTTAATGTTAACTCATGGATCGAGCTTGAACTATACTATGGTTCTATCGGAAAGGTGATTGGTGGATCTGTAGAACCTATCATATCACTATATGGGTTGCACGCAGCTATGATAGCTTATGGAGCATATCAAGACATTCAAAAAGGATATGTAAGATAATAAATTGAAATGATTACATGTACACACAGTTTGTATATATGAACACTGTGTGTGGAACATTCTTTTTAAATCTTAATGTATATGCTTATAACACTTATATCATTTAAGCTTGTATGGCTATCATGGACTTAGACCAAGTTAGAAAAACTCTTTTAGAATCGACTATAATTTCTTCCCGAAGGGGAAGCTTGATCCAGAATGAAGGAAGGTCATTGATATTGATCAAAGATGAGAATTTTTATTTCTAAGTTATGAAGGAGGATTTGTTAAGCCACGCAGGAATTGTTTTACTTGCTGAGCCGTATGATGAACATACCAAGAGGCTGCAGATTGAAATAATAATCATCAAATCAAATGCCATGGTATACATATGAGAAGACTGTGTTCTTTAGATTTAATCGCTGAACAACAACACAACTACAAAACAAGACATATGAAATGTTAAGTGCTTACTGTATGTCCATGTTGGCCCCGTCTTATAAAAAGTTGCGATTGATCCAAATAAATCGCCAGTTTTCCAATCAATCCAATCAGTCTCCTAAATCTTATGTAAATAGTTGCGACTGATATCGATCGAAAATAAGTTGCGATTATTTTTGTTGTTTTTGTTGTTGTTTAATTTAGGCAAGTCAGTCAGTTTATGACCATTATATACACTCATATAACATGCGTGTATACCGTGTGAGTCAAAAAAAAGTTTACACTCAGAAAATTGTCATTTATTTGAAAAGTCAGCTATAACCGATTGGTTATCATATATGTTTTGATAGAGTGTTATATCCCAACTCGTTTGGTATCATTTTTGTGTGGTATATGTTCACGCTTGGATGAACAGGAGGCATTGTTTGCGAGAGTGAAAAATTCGACTTGCGCAACAGTATTAAATTGAGAGAATGAATTGAATGTATCAAATGAGATACATTGCATATGCTTTCTGCAGAAGCAAATTCACATACACACACACACACACACGCGCGCACAAATGTTCTTTGATATTATGTTATATTTGATATGTGTAGCATGATTAATTTCATTGGGGATGTTATTTGGATCTGCAAAGACCGAATTAATACCGAAATCCCAACTGCTTTATTTCAACATCAAATAAGCCGTTTGGCACAAGGTGATTTTTGCACTCTTGCAAAGAAAGTATCCTGGTCCGTATCCGGACACCTACCCCATGGACATCCACCCCCGGATAACCATTCCCAGTCAACTACCCCCTAAGACAACTACCCCTTAGGGGCAAGCACCCTCTACGACGACTACCCCGGGAAAACTACCCCTGGACAACTACCCTTCAGACAACTACCCCCTAGGATAGTTGTCCGGGGTAGTTGTCCTAGAGGTTGGTTGTCGCAGGGGGTAGTTGTCGTGGGGTTGTTGTCCTAGGGGTAGTTGTCTGGGGGTAGTTGTCCATGGGGGTAGTTGTCCGGGGGTAGTTGTCCTAGGGGTTAGTTGTCTCGGTGTACTTGTCCGGGCAACTAGGACAACTACCCCCTTGGGCAATAAGCCTCTAGGAAGACTACCCCCTGGGACAGCTACCCCCGAATAACTACCCCCTAGGACAACTACCCCCAGACAACTACCCCCGGACAACTGCCACCCAGACAACAACCCAAAGACAACTATCCCCTAGGATAACTACCCCCAGACAACTATGTCCAGGGAGTAGGTGTCCTAGAACCAAAATTACAACGTGTTGTACATAATTACCGTATCCAGACACCTACCTCCTGCTGGATATCTACCCCTCCCCCCCCCCCCTGATAACCACCACCAGTCAACTACCCCCTAGGACAATCTAACAACTAGGGCAACCACCCTCTAGGAGGACTACCCCCCGGGACAACTACCCCCAGACAACTACCCCCTAGGACAACTACCCTCGGACAACTACCCCTAGGATAGTTGTCATACTGGGTAGTTGTCTGGGAGGGGGTAGTTGTCCTAGGGGCTAGTTTACTGAAGGGAGGTGTCCGGGGGTAGTTATCCCAGGAGGTAGTCGTCCTAGAGACTGGTTGCCCTAGGGGAGTTGTCCTAGGGGGTAGTTGTCCTAGGGGTGGTTATCCGGGGTTGGATCTCAAGGGGGTACATGTAACTGTCTTAGAACCCATAAATACTGTTAAAATGACTAAATCAGTTCATGTACCCTCACCCTGCCCCGCATTTTAACACCAAACTTTTTAAAAAGGGATCAAAAACAATTATGTAATGTAGATACTAGAGTATTATCTACTCACTACACTGAGTAGGGTATTTTGTAAATTTTTTTAAAATACGTATTGGTAAAATAAAAATGACATCGTGTTGTATATAAATACTGTTAACACGACTAAATCAGTACATGAACCCTCACCCTGCCCAGCATTTTAACACCAACTTTAAAAAAAAAGAAATTTAAAGAAATGATGTCATGTAAATATTATGTACTGTACATTGTGTCGGGTATTTTTTTTAAATACTTATCGGTAAAATAATTTAAAAAATATAGACATATGTTGCACTTATAAAGTACTTGTTTATTGATGAGACAACTGCAAACCACACTTTGTGAACATCAACTGTAAGATACACAATAAAGCTCAAACTACGCAATGCACGTAGGCATCGTAATTTTGAATGATTTCGTATTGCATTTAGTGAAATTGAAAGAAAGAAAGAGATAAATAGAGAGAGAGAGAGAGAGATAAACAGACAAACAGACAGCGAGAGAAAGAGCGACTATATTCCGTGTATGCTGTATTTAACCTTTCATTTATTTCAAGCTAATGATAAATAAACATGAAGAAAGGAACATATTATTGCTGAACAGGATACTAACATGCATGCTTTGCGTCTCGCAAAATTGTAAAGTATTATTGTGATATTGAAATGATACTATGTTTATAATCATATGTTTATAATCATGCATTTATTTGTTCAAATATAATACGAGCAAGTGTTGGTGTCAATGGAACATACAATCGATATTGTAGCATTCGTAAAACCCAAATTACACCCTTTTGTGTCTTGTTTGATAGTCCGATTAATTATTAAATGGCCCGGCTTTCAAATGGTCCGGCTTTCACGAAGACATTCGGGTTAGAATTAAGAAATCGTCAAGAACAAAATGTCAAATTTTCAAATTTCGAGACCAAAAAAAAAGGGGAAAAAAGTGTCCTCTTACCCCCCCCCCCCCCCCCCCCCCCCCCCCCGCTTATTCAGCGGCTGGCTGAGTCGTTGCGATTTTTTTTGGACTCCAAACAAAACAAAAAAGTGTTGGTTCTGGTGCCTGACGGTACAGCACGGTGGCCCCGACATCCAGGGACCTGGTCATCTCCAGATAGAAAGCGCGCACGGCCGACCGACATTATACATCTCACGAGTTCAAACTTCTGCATTGATGTACACGAGGATCGATCGAGAATACCGACACAGCTGACCCTACACAGCCAACATATTTATGCATACCTTTCTTGCTCTCTCGACGAGACAAATCCAACCCCCCCCCCCCCCCTCTCTCTCTCTCTCTCTCTCTCTTACTCCTACTTCTCCTCTCTCAAGCTCTCACCCCCCCCCCCTTTCTCTCTTTCATCCCCCGTTTCTTTTGTTTCATTTGCTTTCTTTCTCTTTTTTTTCTTCCCTTTTTTCCTTTTTTTTCTTTTCCTTTTTTTTTCTTTTCCTTTTTTTCTTTTCCTTTCTTTCTTTTTATTTCATTTTCCTTTTTTCCTCTCCTTCCTCTTTTTCTTTTTACTCTTTCTTTCTTCTCTTACATTCTTCTCTTCCTTTTCTTTTTACTCTTTTCTGTCCTTTTCCATCTCATTTTCCCAATGGCGTCGCAACTTTACTGACAATATCCTGATAGATGGGGGGGGGCGGGGGGAGGGTGTCACATTCCACAGCCCCCCCCCCCCTCATTAGCGACGCCCCTAAGCCCGATACGATTTACTTTTGGCAGGCCACACATAAACTATATCATCTACGAACAATCTGATTGGAGGACTATTTCCAGAAGTCAATTTAGTTAAGACTTTTAAAAGTATATTCGGTTAAATAAATCTTTAAAAATATATGTTCGTCTTTATAGAAAGGATTTAAAATTTAGGACCTAGAAATGAAGAAAGTAAAATCATTTTTACCGTCGTATAGCTAGTAATAGCTCCAAGATATCCCAATTGACGACAGGACACGGTAGCTTCTTCCCAGCCCCAGTCATCTCCACAGATAGGTGTCCAATAGCTTTCATCAAACATCTCTACTTGACCATCCTTAGATGAACTACCGTTCGAAAGTCTTATATCCCCATCTGTAATAACACAAATAAGAAATATATGTAAACCAATAATACAAGTATTTCTCCACAACGAAATCAATATAATAATGCTATTTAGTAAATAATCAATACTGTTACGCCGAGAATCGATTCTTCGAAGAGAAAAAAATATTCAGAATAAAAATAAACTTCATGATTTTCACATTCTTTATATTGTCTCCCCTCCCCCCTCACCTCATTATATGCATGTGAAAATCGACTATGGATTATGCAGGTTCCATATATTACTACTACTTCTTCTACTACTACTTCTATTATTACTACTGCTACTAATACTGATAACAATAATAATAAAGATAATGATAATAATAATAATAATAATAATAATAATAATAATAATAATAATAATAATAATAATAATAATAATAATAATAATAATAATAATGATGATAAGGAGAAGAACGAAAAAAATAATAATATGTCAATGTTATTACATTTCCGTTAATGATAATAATAATAATAATAATAATAATAATAATAATATTAATAATAATGATAATAAGGAGAAGAACGGTAAATATAATAATATGTCAATGTTGTTACATTTCCGTTACGAAGGTAAAAAGACCAATCATCTTAACAGAGAAACAGTTTGAAGCAGTCTACGTGTGATGGATGTGTACACCCTCCCCCCCCCCCTCTCTCTCTCTCTCTCTCTCTCTTTCTCTTCAGGTTAACTATCAATAATATGGTCTGATAGAATTCTTTCCTCGCCCTATTCATCTATCATCTATTTCAAGTAAATATTCCTCTTTAAATCGTGCTCCTACTATGAATATGGAATAATGAATCTACTCTTCAGTGTTCTACTAAAATTCCAGATTGAAATACTAAATGTCAGCATGAGTCGGCAGTTCTTCGGTCGGCAGAATACAGTACCTTGTGGGAAAATTCATGTTCTTAATTAACATAGAAATTAATGCCTTGTCACGCCAACGAGACCGAAATTAGACCGATTAGAGACCAAACAGAAGATTATATTACCCCCTCCCCCCCCCCCCCCCTAGGGCCCTTAATAGTTCGGTTTGGAGTCGGTTCGGCCATGTGACAGAGGTATTTGTTCAAGTATTCTTCTTCATCCCCATCCATTTTCATAATTTGTTTCCCATTATTATTAACTACATTTTTATTCTCCTATTATCACGTTTAGAACCCTGTTAAACTCGACCATGTGACAGAGGTATTTGTTCAAGTATTCTTCTTCATCCCCATCCATTTTCATAATTTGTTTCCCATTATTATTAACTACATTTTTATTCTCCTATTATCACGTTTAGAGCCCTGTTAAACTTCTTTTTGATAGCTTGATAGCTATACGATAGCTCATTATTTTCTCATTAATTTTTACCCAGCATATACCATCACTTTCTGTAAGACATTAGACCGCCAATTAGTCTCTCGTAGATTCTTACTTTCATTTAACAAATTTTATTAATAGTAGGTAAATGAAACTGATTTGGGAGTGGCTTCTCGTTAGAGGATACAACATAGTTTCACTTCTTTTATTATATATTGTTTAATCATATATACACCCACATGGATTCTTGTAAACTTTTTTGTTTTTTGAACGGAAGCTCTTTACCAGGATGTTTTGACTCCTGAAAAGGATATGTTTATGAACCAAATGTTTACCCAGCATATACATGTATACAGATATGAAACTAGTCGACGTCATTACAAAACCTATCACAAAAATGCATTGTCATTACTTTTTTCTTTGAAGCTTAAAGTACACTGTTACCCATAAAGTTAGAACAAATTTAAGTCCTTTCATGAAAATGATTGTGACAATATGATCTATTATACATCTTCTCAGAATATTACTGATCGATTATGATTGATCAATTTATAAATGAATTGAATCAAAGGCCAAGTCCACTCCAAAAATAATTTGCTTTTAATAGTTGCAGAAAAAACAAGAGAAACAGAGCAAATGAAATTATTTGGAGTGGACTTGCCCTTTAAATACAGTATGATATCTAACCTTGTAGGATATCCTCATAGGATGTAGCGCATGAAACGGAAGCTACCATGTTAGACACGCATGTACGACTGTCCCAATTAAGTGAGCAGTAATACAAATGATATTCCGATCCATCGCATACAATATCATGAGCAGTGAAAACCATTGGATGATAGTCGATGAATGCATTCTGTAGGTACAATCAGTGACAATCAGTCTTGCAGAATACAAATATAACATTTAACAAACGTTTTGATCTAGAGGAGTGATAGATTTGAAAACACAAAAGTAGATACAGGTTGGTTTAAAAATATGATCGTGTATAAAATTACATGTATAGGACAATCAAATTTAAATCTAACAATTTCCACCTATTTGAACTATCAAGTATTCAAAGTTTATCAATCAACGAATCATGTTTTGCTTTTGAAGGTGCAACTTTTAAGCGTCAAATATTTCTTATACAAAAAATATACGCGTTTGAATATACACCCATTGAAAAATAAAACGTCTTGTTGAGTAGACAATTTAATGCACGCGTATGCACTCACATATGATAGGGCTCTCCCGGAACCCGGAACTCCTTACCTATAAAATGCCAGATAAAGTTTTTTTAGGTTGATTTTATACGTTCGACTTATAAACAGATTTTTTTGCCGGTGATTGGTACGCTTGAAGCACTGAATTTGTCCTGGCTTTAGATGGGCAGCCAAATATATGGGAAACGTCCAAAACAATTATTTAATTGAAATTATAACAATAATAAGACAAATATTTGGTGCAAGCTGTAATGCTCCACATATCTGACTACATTGCTATAGCCTCCGGGATATTACAAGTCACTAAATATTTTGTCCTTATAATTGGATCTTAAAAGTAAACAAAGGGGGAGAGGAGTCATCAGCTTACGGGAATGATTTTGAGCTAGGGGTTGACTAAATTTTTCAGTTATAAAATGTTGTGAGCAAAAACTTTGTCATGTTTATAAATATTATATTTTATCATATATTTTTTTTTTTTTTTGGAGGGGGTTGGCAACTACATAGTTTCAATAAATTTTCTAAATAAATCTACAAGGAGACCAAATTTTCCAGTTATGAAATGTTATGAGTGAGCAAGAACTGTTAAATTTTGTCAGTTTTTAAACATTTTATTTATGTAATTAATATTATATTAATTTGTTTAGGGGGGCAGCAATATAGTTTTACTAAATTTACTCAGTAAATCTGCAAGGAGACCCCCTCGCTCCCAAAATATGATGGACCTACTTCATCTACGGTATGAGATGTTCCCACGTAGCCTGCTTGCCTACATGTAACCTGTGCAGCTCTCCAGTCCCAGTTATCACTGCATACTGACTTCCATTGACCATCATGGAATACAGACACTCGGCTACTCTGATAGGTTGCATTGCCAGTCAACTCCACGCTGTATTCTATAATAAAAACAGTCATAGTATGTTTGGATACTTAAAGAGAAGGTTGAGTACTGTGAAAAGGTGAAACATAATTTGTGAGCGTTATTATTGTTATTATGCAAGTGTGGAAGAACATTAGATAAACAATGTTCCCTGAAGAGATTGGCTATTCAAATGCCTTTATATTCTAAAAATGTAACAGCTTAAAAAATGGGACGGATTTTTATGCCTCATGTTCGTGAAGTCCCATATACATATTTCTGTGTGAAGTGCTTGTAACCTTTACCAAAACTGGGCCTAACTTCTTATCATGTTGATGATTCCCGAACATTGCAGTCTACACCAATACTTATATGCTAGATGATCAACCTATTCTGATTGATTCCACATCGTTTCTTTTACAATGCAATCGCATGACCAGGGGTGTTTCACAAAGATACTAAGTTGAACTTATCTTTAAGTTGTACTTAACAATTATGGAAAGCCGTTAGCATCCATGAAAATATTTTGTACAAGTTATTTTAAAAGACATAAAATGTTGATTCAAATCATTCATATTTTCTATTATCAAGGAGATTTCGTGTTCTTGATGTGGAATTTACTTAAAAGTCTAAAATACTCTAATTTTCGCTTTGAATATAGTTTTTTTTTAAGGCTACAAATGGCTCTCCATAATTTCAACTTAGAGTTAAGTTCGACTTATGATCTTTGTGAAACACCCCCCTCCCCCCTGATCTCAACTTTATCTTTAAACGCTTGCTTCCAAGACAAACAGAATCAACAAAATATCCATATTTGAGTTTCACGAAAATCAGCCGGGACAGCAATTCATATTGAACTACCTCCTGTAACGGGAGAATAGGAGAAGATAAAGACATGGGGTAGCATTCTAAGATATATTTTATCTCAGATAAACTTTTAATTTATATATAGTGGTATTCTGAGAATCAATGAGCAAGTTTTTATCTCATCTAAGACACTCCTGTTCTCCTAGGGTTACATTAGGGAGACTTTAAAAACACTGCAACACCATCGCATGTATCTTTATATGCAGTACATTGCTAAGACTTATTTAGATGCGATGTTTAACTAAAACATTGCTAACACTTATACGGGTTAGAACTTGGACATTTCCAAGACCTAACCGAGTTAGATGTTTTACTAGTACACTACAGTGCTAGGACCTATACGGTTTAGATGATAAACTAGTAGAGTAATATATAATGAGACCTATCCGGGTGATTTTTTAAACTAGTAGAGTTATCCGGGTTAGATGTTAACTATTTAGTAGTACATTATTCATGAGCTATCCGGGTTAGATGTTAAACTAGTGCAGTACCAAGACCTATCTGGGTTAGATGTTAAACTAGTACACTACAGTGCTAGGACCTATACGGTTTAGATGATAAACTAGTAGAGTAATATATAATGAGACCTATCCGGGTGATTTTTTAAACTAGTAGAGTGCCAAGACCTATCCGGATTAGATGTTAAACTAGTACACTACAGTGCAAAGACCTATAAGGGTTAGATGATAAACTATTTAGTTGTACATTGCTCATGACCAATCCTGGTTAGATGTTAAAATAGTGCAGTGCCAATACCTATACGGTTTAGATGATAAACTAGTAGAGTTCTAAGACCTATCCGGGTTAGATGTTAAACTAGTAGAGTTCTAAGACCTATCCGGGTTAGATGTTAAACTAGTACAGTGTTTAGACCTATCCGGGTTAGGTGGTAAACTAGTGCAGTGCTAAGGCCTATCCGGGTTAGATGAAAAACTAGAACATTGCTAAGACTTATCCGGGTTAGATGATGAACTAGTAGAGTGCCAAGAACTATCCAGGTTAGATGATAAACTAGTAGAGTGCTAAGACCTATCCGGGTTTGATGATAAACTAGTTCATAGCTGGGATTTATTTGGGTTAAATGATAAACTAGGACATTGCTAAACACCTACCCCGGTTAGATATTAAACTAGTACAGTGCTAAGGCCTATCTGGGTTAGATTTTAAACTAGTACATTGCTAAGACGTGTCCGGGTTGCATGGCAAACTACTGGTAATGAGACGCTAAATGTAATAAGTAGAGCATTGCCTATATCCATATGGTCCAATTAAACTTGTGCATTGCTGAAACCTTCATATATCTGGGTTACATGTTAAACTATTGCACTAATAAAATACATCTGTTAACAATGTCAAAATAGTATCGAGGTGGTATTCGGAAATTGATGTCATTTTTATGTTATTAAAACAATGTTAATTATCATAACGAATCGAAAGTAAGACTTGTATATGTCTGTGGAAAGATGGCTGCGTTGGCATAATGTGAAAAGACACGACTGCGCAAGCAGTGTTAATTCTGCACAATTCGAGTTTGTTAGAACAGTTCACATCTTTTTTCCATAACATAAATGAAAATTTTCAGAATACGTCTTCAGCATTTAGGCAATGCATCTAACCATCCTTCAACGACAAACTTACCAGCATAAGAATCTTGCTCACATATAACACTGCTGTCATTATCATGTGTGCAGTCTGATAGTAGAGTTCCGTGTGATAATGGACAGTCATGATGCGTCAACTCAGTCCCACGGCAGTTATATCCTGTAGATACCACACGGTCGGAATTCCTTCCAAAGAAAGCCTAAAGACATGGCAGTTCAAAGGTGTAAGTATCGTCTTCGAACTTACACTGTCGCTCATAAAGGTGGAATATTTAAGTTTTACCCCAATTTATGGAATTATTTTAAAAATTATTTAAAAATAATAGATATAGATAATAGTATACATTCTCAGATTTTATTGAATAATAACTTGCCAATGTGTGTTTTGCGGAACTGCTAAAGCATGTGTATGCTACTATGCTTATTAACTAGGGGACCTACGCTCTCAAGTCATAGATGACAGTAATGAGGATTAATGCCCCACAAAAGGGCACTAATATAGCACATCGACACGGCTTTGATCCTGGGGCCTCACAGTTACGAGGCCATTGTTTTGTCACTGAACCATGACTGTACGCAGCGGGGGCTAGGGTAGGGGGCAGTTTCCATAAATTTTAAAAAAAAAAAAAAAAGTAAATTTTCAATAATTTATTGCATTTAACCCGGTGCCTAACATTAAAAAAAATTCTGTGTGCCCATGTCAGAGCCATAATGCATGGCAAATTATTATTCAATAAAATCTGAGAATGTATACTATTATCTAGATCTATTATTTTTAAATTATTTTTAAAATAATTCCATAAATTGGAATAAAAAAAATATTCCACCTTTATGAGCGACAGTGTAGATAACACAATCGCAACTACTTTCTAGAAATTTAATTTTAGGGCAATTTCAAAATCCAATCATCTATCTCATAGAAATCATATTCGGATTACATAATTAATTATTGTTATGCATTTTTGTACATTTCAATTAGGTGATGCACAAGGATATTGAAATCGCCTTAATTAGGTGATTGTTTTTGTTCAAGTAGTTGCAATCGGGTTGTATTATAATCAATCTTATATTAAACGATAAAGGTATTCTTGAAATAATTCTTACAAATGACTAGTCCTACTAATCTCATGAAATAGTAAAATTCACAAAAAGTAAAAATTGAATTTACTTGCAAGAATAAAAATGGCGGTATTATTGTAAAATGAAATTAGATTCAAAGAAATAAGTTGACGTAATCCAAAATTTAAACTAACTAGGCCTACCACACTTTTTGGACGACGACGCCCCCCCCCCCCCCCCCCCCCAACACAGACACACACACGCACACTCAATCCGAGAATTTGCCTCTCTTATTCGTTTAACATGTTTAATAAGCCTGGGGAAAATGTTTAGATAGAGGGATTGGTTGACAAATCAAACATTTCAAGTGAGGCGGGATAGATTTCATTGCGCCTAACATGTAGGCAAGTATGATAATAATTATATATATATATATATATATATGAGTGTGTGTGCGTATGTGTGTGTGTCTTTATTATCTGGTAAACCAAGTGTAAGGAACCACATGGATGTGACATTAATTTACCCCTTTCTTAGCGTAGGTGGCGCGTTTAAATCCGACTTGTCTGCAGACTACATGAGCATCTTCAATATCCCAGGCTACATCACATACGGATCCCCAGCGCTCTCCTGTAAACATCTCTACTCTGCCTGCATACGGGACATTACCATTCACCAGACGAACAGCTCCACTCACTGATTATACGGATATGACAAGATTAGGATTTAGATAAACATGTCAAATATCAAACAATGCCCCACACAAAAAAAATTGATAACGAAACAGAACCAACAGAAATTTGACAAGAAAATTGACCCATTTTTAATTTTTTGGATGGGTTGAGGCATCCAAGCAGTGTATGTATACCATGGAGTGATAATATATTCTATTATATCATGTTTGTGTCGGCCTCCACATCCCCTAACAATTTCCATGACAGTGGGATATCTTTTTCCTTTATTTTCAATGACTTTCCATGACTTTCCAGAAAAAATGTTTTTCATGACTTTCCAGGTTTTCCCATTACCGCGGGAACTTGTGTTTTTTCCTTCAGCTGGGAGCTAATAAAAACCGAAGTCCACAGCTATAACAAAAATTTAAAAATGCTTTACAGCTGGGTACATATTTACTAAAACAACACCGAGGGAGACAATGCGAACATGATATAGAATAGTCATTGATAAAGTTCAGACAACTTGAAAGTCAGATATTTTTTTAAGGCTAACTCAAGACAAGCTTTAAAGATAAACGTTGACAATAAAATAAAAACTACAGCAAACACTATCAACATAATACAGTATGAAAGAAGGTACCGAATTTCGTTCCATCACACACAACGCCCACGTCATCATTATGAGAGCAGCCCACAGTGTTTTCAAAGTTCGAACCGACATTGCAGTCTCTCAGCGTTGCCGAGAATGCTGGGCATTGTATATCCTCTACTATATCACCTGAACCGGGACCAAACGAGTGCTGAAACATAAAAGTATATGGTTCTTATTACATCTTGGTTTGTGAATTTATCTCAGTATGATTGAAGCGAAGCAAGGAAAATTACTTTTAATAAATTAATCAATGATACCAGTTCTGATTCTCATTTTTCTATATAAAAGAAAACACATATCATCACTATTTCAATTGCAAATAAAAGACGTATATGTACATCTGGCTGGATGAAATATTTTTGAAAATACATGTATTCTGTTGTAAGAAAAGTATAAAGAAAATAGTAATTCCAAGCCAGGGGTTCTTAATAATTTCAGTTATCTTCATTGAAATTTGAAAAGGGATTTCACTGTTCAAAGCCGACTCAAAATCAAAGTAATGTTACCTACAGATTTGTCTACTATTTTATATCACCACAGACTTGTCAAGATGAACTATGTATTTACCATAGACAATGCCACCCCAGTATAGCCTAGCTCATGGCATAAGACTCTCGCCTCGTCATCAGTCCAATGTCCACATACAGTCCACCAACTGTACTCATGAAAGATCTCAACACGTCCGCTATATGCATCATCACCATCTACTAATCTAACCTCACCATCTAAACACATAGGATACAATCAGAATGAATATCAAAGAAACGAATTTTGAATAGATGAGGGAGAAGGAAAAATTGGGAGAGCGGGTATGAAGACACAGGAAAGAACGATGTAAGAGAAGAATAAGGAAATATAGAACTTAGATTTTAATATAATAGTTATAAAAGGGAAAGTAGCTCGCTGATATCGATTGTGATGTTAAATTCATTTTATCATATTCTTAGTGATATCTAAAGCATTTTCTTTAATTTTTTAATTTTGAACACTATGGGAAATCTCAGCAGTTCGTAATTCTTGTTTCTTGATATATTATCAATACGTGGCCAAATTGCAGTTAAGCAAGAGAGTATTATTAACCGAACTTCCTTTTTTTTATTCTATATCTAATCCACCTCCCTTTCGCTGTCTTTTATATACCACAGTGATTATGTTATTATCCCCTTCCCCGTTTGTTAGAAATCTCTCTCTACATCTTAAGCAAAACAAGTGTGAAAAGAGTGTCAGTCTTCTTCTTCTTCATCACCATCACATTCTTCTCATCTTTCTTCTTCTCCTTTCTGACCTTCGTCTTCCCCATCACTTACACTCTTCCTATTATCTTCTTGTCTGCATTATCCTGTGATGATTATTTTATTAAAATAATTCATATAACACCGATGTCTTTTGTGATATACCGACCTGGCGGAGCACATATAGCCCCTGCATCATCCGAGTGTGTGCAGATCGAATGTTCATCATAAGAACAGCTAAGGAGCGCATCTTCTAGACCAGTACATCCTACATTGCTTGCAAACACATCACCTGTTCCTCCACCATAGGAACTCTGTATGGGAAACATCATGATGTATTTGTATTTGTATTTATTCAGACATTCAGTAAAAAAAAAAAAAAAACACTAAGATGTCTGGGGATGCAGCAAATGCATCCGGAAAAGATTCTGTGAGTGAGTTTGTTTGAAGTAAATTTTCGTTATATCTCTAAAAAAATAAGATGATTTCAAAGAACATAGCACATATGAATATACTTTAGACTCATCGAATGCATGTGGACTAAAAAGTGAAGAACTCCCATTTAAATTTTATTTATCTTAGCTTCTCAGAGGTATAAGCCTATATTTAGTATTCATTATTTGGGGAGGGGCTACTTGATAGACGCACTCAATCCAATGAGATGCAGAAGGAATACATGTACGACTAAGCTAAAGATAAAGATGAAAAGTTACAAATCGTTTTCTTTCTCAACAATCGAAACATTATGCAAATAATTACGGCCATTAATTGCGTTTGATTACTGAATAGCTATTTTAAATTGCACTACCACGACCACTTCATCAATTTGTGAGATGTCATCGTCAGGCACATAGCCAGAGTTTGATGTTTGGGGGGGGGGGGCACATACATGTAATCGATCGAGTAAAAAAAAGGGGTCTAAAAAAATTCAACCGATCTTGGAAATTTTTTAAATGGAACAGAAGAGAGACAAATAGATGTGAATTGAGAAAGACATAAACATACATTATGCGTAACTTGGACGAGTCCTTCATAACCCATCTGTCTGCACACCACTTCACCTTCGTTATCATCCCATCCCTGATCACAGAATGTCATCCAACCTCGACCATCATCTATCCAGATCTCTACACGGCCTTCTTGGGCATTGCCTCCATCTACCAATCGAATGTTACCAACTGTGAAAGAAAAGAGAATTATCTGCAACCAATTAATCGCGTTTCAAAGGGATTTGTTAATGCAATTAGAGTCAGATATGATCCAATACACTGCCGGAAAAAAATATATAATAATAACAATAACGAATGGTAACTGTGTACGACTCAAGTCATACGGGTATTCACTTAGCTCCATGTAATAACAATAATAATAATAATAGGCATTTCTATAGCGCCATCTATCTAGAAATTCTATTCCGAGGCTCATTTATTATTACAATTTACAATTTAAAGCGTATTACACTTTGCGTCATTATTATTATTTTTTTTTAAATACCTCAGTTTTCCACTGCCCAAAGTGAGTAAATTCGCTCGTCTCTTATAGTTTGGAACAATCATGAAATACCATGCAACATTTGAAATAACATGGCAGCACATCAGTTCAAAATGTCATGTCAGCAAGATATAAGATAATAAAAGATATGTTCCCCCCCCCCACCAAAAAAAAATATTAATAATGAGTAACTACCCGGGGTAACTACCAACGGAACTTTAAGGATTTTTGGCTGTGATAGGAGTCAACTTTTCATGAAATCTTATGTCTTGTCTTCAACATCCATAATTATGGCGAACGCATATTGATAATCTAATCACTCTATACAATATATTTTTATACAAGTATACTAAACGATGATTATTTTGTTTGAAACGGTTCTCTTTTTTCATCAATATAGAAAAGAATATATGCCCCATTTAACCATATGAGGGAATAAACAGAGTAAAATAGTATATCCTTCCTGTAATATGTATGCCATGAATGCAGGAAAGGTACCTGGGTGTTAAACTCAAGATTGTATGATAGGGATGGAAAGATTGAAACTTACCGTCATGATTTTGGCATATGACGCTAGCGTCTTGATAATGCGAGCAATAATTTCGAGTCCATGGTTGGTGTGGACAATCAGCTAAACGAGTCTCTGATCCACTACATTGTAACTCATTCAGATGAATACTGCCTCCTCCCTGGCCAAAGAAAGCCTGCTCAATGTAATCAAAATGAGATTGAGAGAGGAAACTATTTCATTTTTTGAAACTATAAACCAGATTTGAATTTTGGTATTATCTATCTGTGGAAAAGCAAGTAATCCCTACCTAGGGAAGAACATGTTACTTGCCAAATCTCAAATCTCATTCAACAAAGGCATTCTGATATGAGACAAAAACGATTATTCAAACTCCTTTCAACTACTCAGAGATTAAATTGTACTAGGCCCTCATACATTCCCTTTATCGGCCTCATTACGTCGTGAAAAATTAGTGCGATTAGAGAGAGAGTTCATAATTGTACTGTGCGATAAGTGTATGGGTTATAGGACGCCTACCCCCTGGTTAACCACCCTCTGGATAACCACCCCTAAGATAACCACCCTCTAGGACAACTACCCCATAGGACAACTACCCTTATCCTAGGGGTGGTTATCCGGGGATGGTTGTCCTGGGAGTAGGTGTCCGGATACGAAGTGTACGCGGTATACGAGAATAGGATATACATAGATATTCCTGTATCTCCCAACATTTGAGGTCGTATATGATCTGCAAACGATCTTCACTGATATACAAAAAAGCACCAATACTTGTAATTACCGCTTAATTCCTCATGATAGATGTTAAAGGCAGGGTATTTTAATACCGACTTTGCTTCCACTGCTGTTATGTATTTTCAATTGCGCCATCTTTTGATGAAGGCGTAAATAGAGCGATTCCCAGTTCCTGTACCAAAGCATCATCACGCGCGCGTTACCAGTAATTGAGGCAGTGTTGGACGTGGCTGTCGACACATCGGGACATTGTGAGGTGCAGATGGCAGTATACATGTATTTATCTGAAAAGGTGTCTGTAGAATACCCTTCATTTAAAAGCACTCACCATTCTCAAGGCTTGGACAGCTCCAGGGAATCCTAGTTGTGTGCAAGCTACAATGGCATCTTGTTGATCCCAACTATCATCACAAACTGTTCCCCACTGCCCCCGATAATAAACTTCAACTCGCCCTTCATTAAACACAGCACCACCTTGTAGTCTTATATCACCATCTTAAAATACAAAAGGAGAACAATCATTGTTCAACTAATCCCCAATAAGCAATTTCGTAAATACTATCTGCGCATAGGCAGATAAAAGTCATTTGTTCCAAAATTGTAAAACTCTTCGAGACGAATACTGGTATTGTGCTCATGAAAGTTATGTAGCCAGTATACATTTATCTGATATACAGGTGGAAGTATTCTTCTTAAGAAGCAAACAAAAGGTATTCATGAAGAACCTCCATCACTTCGGCGGTGATTATTCTAAAATGCACAAGAGGGACGTATCCATCGTATAAAAAATCTGTTGATTTGTTGGGGTCATGCGTACCGAAGCTATTTAAAAACTGGCTTATTGGCAAAAATGTAGATGGGTTTCCTAAATAAATTTCCTTTTGTATCATTATGTGTCTTTTTTTTTGTTTTTTTTTTGTTTGTTTTGTTTGTTTTTTTGTTTTGTTTGTTTTGTTTTGTTTTTTTTGTTTTTTTTGGGGGGGGGGTCTGTAACTCATATTTTATTCTTTGCTTGTCCCTAGAGTAATTTTGTTTAGGCATTTAGGAAGGACACCAGTTGGTCTCATCCAATGAGACTGGAAAGGAACTCACACAAGTTTGATTCCATATCTTCTGTACCATGCAATAGTATAATGATAAATATTTGGTGTTATATACCTAGGGTAGCCTCAACAGTATTAATACTGCTTTTCCTGCGGGTCCTGCAATCATCATTACCCAGTAATTGCCATTTTTTAGTAACCTTTTACAACGTGCTGGAAAGTGGAGAGTGGCAAATGTAAACTGATGTTTTAATTTATATAGTCCGGTCTGGGATTCGAACCTTCGGATTGTAAGTCAAGTGAATAAACCACTATACCAATACTTCCTGAAAAAAGTCGAAATGCCTGAAACTTAAGCCTGAACATACTGAAAGGCCTGAAAATTGGTATCCCTGCTCAAGATACAAAGATACATGTATTTCATCGATAATTCCTTCAACTTCTTACCATCCGGCGCATGGCAAGAAAGTGTAGCTTGTCCAGTATCACATACGCTGTGATCATGCACCACTTCACATTGAGTTAACGAAGTCTCGTCACCTTCACAGTCAAAGTAGGTACTGATCATTTGACCTCCACCACTTCCATGATTGCTCTGGTATCATATAAATATATAATAGAGCAAACATACATGTACTAAAGGGAAATGTAAATGCATGTTTATTATATTTAGGGAAGGTTTACTTTATTGAAATGGGGTCGATCTACAGCTTCCATGTCTAAGTAAATATTATTCCTCCTTTCGTTCTATAAATGTTCACTACATGTTAATCATTGTCATAATTTGTCATCCTTGCTTTTGTAAGATCCTTCATTACAAATAAACGTACATGTAGCTGTACAAAAAGGAGCTTTACTGATACACAATGCTATTGTTTATAAAATAATTTCCTTGCTCTTCGTTAAATTGTCCCGTTTGTACAATGCAATATGTGCTCTCTTCAAGCAAAACGAGGCACACTGAGCATCAAGTACAAGGTAATTCATGACTACCGCCAACAAATCCAACTCCTAAAAAAAAAAAGGAGTAGAAGGAGGCGAAGCAAAAAGAAGAAGAACGAGAAGAAGACATTTATTTTTTTCTCCAAATTAACTTTGTGTGAAATCCTGTTTTGATATAACTCACTGCACCATGCCATTGAAAATGGGAGAAGCCTAGTTGTCTGCAAGCAACGGTAGCATCCTCAGAATCCCAATCAGAAGCACATAGGGACCACCATACTCCGTCATTGTAGATCTCTACGTCACCTTCACGCAATGTCCCATTTACAAGTCGTACATCACCGTCTAGATCGGGCAATAGGATTATGATTGGATGTTTAAATTACAAAAAATTTACAAGTCATAGACCACAGTCTATTTGAAAATAATGTATATGGGTCGTTTGGTTGCAACTCTTCACAATATGATATACTAGTAATCGACAATATATTCATTCCGAATTTATCGTTTCTAATTATTTGGTGTCAACATAATACATTCTTACTCATAACTACTTATCACCGTGTTTTAAAACATTGCCATACTCTCGCAGCTTTCAAGAAGTGTCTAAAGAAACATCTTTTTAAATTTCTCTTGCTACTTATCTTTGATTCTAATTAATGTAAACTTCGTACGATAATGTTCTACTTTTGTTTGGAAGTATTTATGTTGTATTCGCATTGTATTTAATGCAAAGGCACTTTATAAATGAAATGTTGTTATTGTTTTATTATTACTACATAAATGTGTCTAAAGAACTGCATCAAATTCAGGTCAGGTGGGTAGATTTTTATAAAATACCAGTTCAATACGTTTCAAATGGTGTAACATAAATATATCAAGGCGTTATTGGTCTTGGTGTAAGTGAACAGTGCGGCCTTTAAAAATCAAAATGGAATTCATCGAGACGCGTCATTTGAGTGTGACATCATAAAAAAGTGAATGCAAATGAAAAGTGCTAATAATGCTTTTAACAACCTTCATAGGCTTGATTATCGCAGGTAATTACATAATTGAAATAACATCTTGTGTGTAACCTGCATTTGAAATCTGCCCAACGTTTCCTTTTCCCACCTCCTCTCCCGATCTTTACCCCGTCTCCGTGATGCCGTCTATGCTTTTATCACTGGAAGCCTTCTTTTACCTTAGGCTCCTTTGTATTCTCTATAATTCCAATTACAAGTAACTTCAAGCAAACCAAAATGATTTGATATATTATATGTATTTATGTTTACCAATACGTCTATGCAATATTGTTATTATTTTGAAAATTGGAAAATGACGTTTGAAATTTGAAAATGAACTAAACTGAACTGAAACTACCACTCATAAACGTTAATATTTCATTGAAATCAAAGTTATGGAGTTTTTGATCAAGTAGGACACTTTGAAATGAGTGATTCCATGTGAATTTATTATAGATGTTAGGTTGCCATGTTCAAGCTATTAACGTACCCATCGGCGGAATACAAATGACACTAGCGTCCTCATAATGAACGCAGTTATGTTGATAAAAATGAGCTCCATGACAGTCGATCAGCCTCGACTCATCGCCTCTACAATACAGGTCGTCTAGAAAGATAGCACCAGTTCCTGCACCGAAATAGGCCTGGTTAGGAGAAAAGCGGTAAAGAAATTAAAAGGGAAACATGCAGTTACCAACAATAAACACTGTCATATATTAAACTTACCCTTTTTAAAAATACTTTATCGCAATAACATGTAAATTGACAAAGGAGATCTTAGTTTAAAATGTATTAATAAACAAAAACGAAATAAAAGTATTCATAATTCGACCTCGGTTTGAGTACTTAACACTTGCCATTTTTTTTACATATTAATAGAGCATAAATATTTACTTGTTAATCCGCACAGGTAATATCAGACGGGAAAACCCCGGTCATACAAGGATGATCAATCTGGATTTCACATAGATTTTCTAAATTTAAAACAATGAATCGCCCTTGGACTGATCAACATTTATATCACAATCCATATATACCCACATGACCGTCCAAAAGGCTTGGACAATTTACTACTCGCAATATATTATTATGAAGATAAAGGTGTCGTAGTCGAGTAGTTTAAATACTTGACTGGATATTTGAAGGTTGTGGGTTCGAGCCCCGGCGCGTCAATAGCGTCCGTTGGCAAAACATTAATCTAAATTTGCCATTTTACATTTGTCTCCAACTAGGGGTTAACCGGCCGCGGTAAGGAGAAATTCTTACAATGCTGTGAGTACCAAAAACGGTAGCCTCACTAGAGACGGGTTAATATAAGAGTGCCTTGCGCCTTGAGTACCTTGCGTGGTGGATAAGTGCGCCATGAAATATCCATCATGATTATCACTAATTCAATTCAATTCAAATGAACATTTATTTTCTTCCATTCAATTTGACAACATACTATATTTTACATCTGTTCAAACAATACAATTTATACGTAGGAACATAAATATATTTAACGAACTTGTATTACAAGGAAGAAGGCGCGAAACCCGATAAGCAGAGCTTGTAATGGGTATGACCGAATACACACAAATACATATGCATCATAAATAGAAGAAAGGAAGAAAGGGATAGGCAAAGAGGAGAGAAGGATAGAGAGCTTGGAGACAGAGAAAAGAAGAGAGGAAAAGAAGAGGACTGCGACATACTTAGCACTGGAGTGAACATTCCAGGCAGCGCCGCCTTGGTGACAATCCCATCAACTGCTCAACCCTTTAAACACTTACCCTATGCGGTGCATCTCTAGCTCCTGTATACCCGAGCTGTCGGCATACCACGGTGGCATCGTTTAGATCCCAGGAATCATCGCAAACCGTTCCCCATTGTCTGTCATGGAAGATTTCAACCCGTCCCATGTACGACATTCCTCCACCACCTACCAGCCGTAGAGCTCCATCTACATGTACATAATGGTTTGTACAGAACGACTGTCATTAATTTAAAAACTTAATAACTGCCATGGATGATCTGAGCAGATCAAATTTGTGGGAAAAAAGTCCGATTAGGACAAAAGCTTAAAACAGACATAGCCTGCGTCATAATTTGTTTCACACTATGGTTGATAATAATAATAATAATGATGACTATAATAATTATAACACGCATCTACCTCTCACAAAACAAGTCATACCAGAAAATGTGTATAACTTTTGTATGACTTCTTTTCATTTAACTTTTTTCTCTGTGGAAACCTATTAGCCTCAGTATTTACTCTATGCTGATTGAGAAATCTATTTTCAATTTACGGGTTTATATCCTTTGAACTAAAATCACACTCAAGTTTGTATAGGTTTGGATAATGGAACATTTGCATTCGAGTTGGGTATTTAAAACATTTCACTTGTAAAGGAAAGATTCGCTGTAAATTGCTGAACAACAAAATGTACTCTCAATTTCATCGTCTTTTCTATGAGAAAGAAAGAAGAAAATTGGGTGGTTGTGTAGGAGATTTCAATGGCATAATACCTCACAGAACATACAATTTTTTTTCTCTCTTTTGTTTATCATTGTTTAAAATATATTTTATTATAGAACAGCTAAGTAGATCCTTGTCATTTGATTGGAGTTTTGGGGGGCACATGATATTCAATAAATAATCGATTAAACGACTACGTTATTGAGCGTGCACTTTCGGTTATACTCGCCGTCGGTGCATTTTTTGTAAAGCTTAGTATTGTTTAGATATACTTGTTTTTTGTTGGTTTTGTTACACGGCCTCTTGGTAAACTAGTCTAAAAGTAGAAGTTAGATGGGGATTTTACAATGCTTTAAATAAATAAATGAATGAATCTATATATGTATGTATTCTCCTCACCACTTGATGGTGGATAACATCTCACGCCAGCGTCTTCCATGTGTATGCAATTATGACTGTACATCCCGACATGAGAGCAGTTTAGTAAGCTTGACTCTGTTCCTAAACATCGTACGTCGTCGAGAAGGATGTCGATATTAAGTCCCTCACCAAAGTAAGCCTAATAAATTGAAAGTAACACCCAGTTCATTGAAGTCGTTGTAGTACTACTAACACTTCGTATTTTGATCATTATTGAACAAGAATGCAATATACTTCACACAGACATCGGTAAGAAATCCATACAAATATATACAGATACAAAAATAGCAATCATATAACATAATAGCAAGACAAATTAGATATACTCAAATTAATGGTGTTATTCTACGAGACATTATTACATTAATTTACAGAGTCGAATATCTCAACCATTCTAGTATTAGAAATGCATTCTTTTCAGCACCGTTTCTTTTAGTCGGTCATTGTAATGGCGAAATTCATCTCCAACTTTTCCCGTATCAAAATCATGACAAAAAATTCGAGGATGAGAGATCTATGTTTTCCGGTTTCTATTTGTAAGTTTATTAAATGATTATCAATTTTGGCATTGGTATGTTTGTGTTTGTATTTGTAAGCCATCAAATCGAACTTCTACCTATACAAAACAACATAATGGTCTGGAAATTCGTTCTCGACATACATCCTTTGGGTAATACAAATGTGAAATGATTATTCGAGCATAAACCTTCATCAAATACATGATGAATAAAGTCAGTCCAAAATAATGAAGTCAACTCACCCTCCCAAAATGGACTCCGTGATAACCTGGCATCACTTGATTACAGACAACCATTGCATTTTGATCGTCCCAGTAATCATCACAAACTGTTCCCCATGATCCTTGATAGTAGACCTCTACCCGGCCTTCCAAAGAGGTTGTCCCGCCTTCAAGTCGAACATCACCATCGTTATCTAGCATTAAATGGATAAAGTGGTTGTGTTAAAGGACTTTGAATTATGATATGATAGTCTACACAAATAATTATAAAAAAAACACTTTACAAAACATTTTGTAAATTTCTTGACGTTAGATCTTGATATATATTTTAATGATAGTGTAGACAAAAAGTCTACATCTAGATCAAGGTTAGATAGGTTTAGGTGTAACTTTTAGTTAGAGTAAAAGTACATGTACATGCAGTTATAAGCTAATTTCTGATAAGACCTAAAAAGGTTAAAACCGAAAAAATCAGACTATTTCGAACGGGGATATGTTCCGTTGAGACTACGTCTGGCTTCACAGAATTCCCCTCTTTGGAGTATAGAGCGTCAACATACTAAATATATTTAGAAATTAGAATAGTCTAGATCAGGGGTCTACGTCCCGGTCGAAGTTTTTCTTAAACTCCTCCAAGCAGAAAGACTAGTAGTAGTAGTACAAGCCTGTAGCAGAATATAAAGACTAGATCATAGATTAAACCCTACCCTAGACCTAGCACGAACATTAAAAGTAACAGTTAGACAAGTGAGAGTATCCTCAGTAGGCCTTCAGTTAGACATCATTCATACTTTAATATTAATTGTAAGACACTCCCCAGGTTTTATCCTAAACCTTGATCTAATCTTTGACTTTGACTTTGCATTATTTTACATCCATTTTTTATAAATGGCACTTAAATGGTGGATGAGGAAGGATTATAATCTAGATGTATCAGTTAGCTTAGATCTATACAAATATAGGCCTAGAGGCTAGATATAGACGATAGATCTAGCCTATCTACTATAGTACTATAGTACTACTAGAATCAACTACTTTACTAGGACTCGGAGTCGGACTAGGCAGTACCATGTACTAGATCCTAGGCCTACTACTACAAATAAACAATGGTAGTGTGACAATAACTCCTATTAAAGTTCGTTATCTCAAAAAAATGGTGAGATTTCGGAAATCTGACATCTCCAATCGAAAGAGGAACATAAATCAACACAAAAACGAGATTTTCTCTGGAATTGGGTGTGAAATTATGAAAATATTAACAAAAGATCGCCACATTTTTTCAGTCATTTGCGTCCGTTCCGAAATATTTTTAATTTACCATCATCATCATCATCATCTTACTCTCCCTCCATTGTTTCGGAAATCAGCGATCCTAAGGGCGACTCTATTATACAGTGCGTCCCAGAAAAAACGAAACCGAGAATTCTCGATGTTTTATCCCCGGGTTTTATCATAACTTAGACCTAGTCATAATATTGATAAATTACACATATTTTGAAAGCTTAAATCCTCTTCTTTCATTTGATGCAACTCACATGATGCCCTTTCATATGACACCTCAACCAGCCGTGCATGAATTCTTTGACTATGGCTGATCTTCAACGAAAAGGAGTTAGGTCTTTTGTCGATTCCGTTTATTGCTACGGCAGGCAGCCAGTGAAAACGAATTCGGTTAGGCCTAGTCCAATTATGGAAATGCAAGCACTACTTTAAATAAACAGAACTTTGTTATTCCTTGCTCATTTTTCCTGGTTGAGGTGTCATATGAAAGGGCAGAAACTGAAGTTTCTAGAAATGTGATTTTCCCTTTGAAATTCAGATACCGTCCGCCAAATGACTTTATGGTTTCCTCTCTTCAAATGAATTTTAATCACTCATGCGTAAAATATGCATCATATTCATATTCATATTCATATAAATGAACGAGGGGAATCTAAGCTTTACAAACATGTGTCATTTATCAATTATCATTGTGATGTTATGATAAAACATCGATAGAAAGTTCCCGGTTTCGTTTTTTCTGGGACGCACTGTAGAGTCTAACTAAACTGGACACAGTAGCACAAGACTCTTGTTCAAGAGTAGGTCTAAAGGTAGGGTGTCTGAACGATTTTTCAATTTTCAATTTGGGATCGTTTTTCACCATTTTTGTTTGATATTTGAATAAAAAATGTTATCAGAATAATACATTTCAAATTTCAAGTCTCACCGATGTTTCTATCAAAAGTTACAGCCCCTCCAACACGCTGGTATATTCATATCATTTTGGTCAAAATCGACGAAAAAGACGTCCACGCAGAGTGATGCTGTTTTGCTAAATTTAGCCAAACAGCTGTATCGCGCGATATGCAAGCGTATGCATATCGTACGCATGCTGCTAAGCCAATCCGCGACTTGCAGCTTGAGCTACGCTGTCTCCGCGACATGTGCGATTGACTAGTATGGTTGGCGTTCGTCGCACAATAAACCCGGAAGTGAATGCACGTTATAGTCAATGGCAATATCGCGGAGACAACGCACGTTGTCTCCGCGATATTGCCATTGACTATAACGTGTATTCACTTCCGGGTTTATCGAGGGAATTGCCAACCATAATTTCAGTCACTATAATGTGTAATTGAATTTGGGGTTTCGTTCGTGCGCGGAGATGTTACGCGATGTAACCATGGTTTGGACTGAGCGGAGCGCACGCCTCCTAATTAGCTGATCCACCAAATAGCGAGAAGGGTATTTTTAAACTGTTATCAGTTGTGATCCCTGGGGGCTAGCGAAAATATAATCACATAGAATTGTTCCTTAGGACTGGGACTTCTTATCGATCGGGGCGTCATATCTCAAAAGTGACAAACCTCAGAGTTAGCCAGGACACAATGTTTAAATTGCTGTTTTGACCAAGATATTTTTAGAATTTCGGGGGCTACGCCCCTTTGGAAATATTGGAATTCACCTGCTCTTTCATATGACACCTCATTCATTGATTATCACCTTCAGGATCACAACTGATAAAGGTTTGAATCTCGATTTGAAAAAAAAAAATTGACTTTTTTTGCATGGTCGCGCAATGCACGTAGGCTGCATAGGGATGCGTGTAATCTCTATGGGAAGAATTTTAGCACACAACATCGGGTGCGCGATCAGACACCCTACTAAAGGCGTAAAGCTAACATCAAGGCAATGGACTGATACTGATGATAGCCGTCAATCGCGATAAGTGCATTTTATAAACATAGAGTAAAGTACTAGATCTAGTAATAGACAGTAGTTCTAGAATAGGCCTAGGGCAGAACAGGATCAAGTGGGAGTAGCGTAGCTGCCACTATACATGGATCACAGTCGTCATCAGGCCTAACTTGTTAGGCCTAGACGGAAGTGTGAGGTGATCCTGTTGAAACTTCCGGTCATATAAATCATGGTCACAACACAAGGGTCTTATTCATGTAAACTTCTTTAAATTACTAGTACTATTCGAAACCAAGTTTCCTGTTACGCACTAACTGTTAGGCCTATATCTAAACCTATAATAATAAATTACCAATTGAATTATCATTGACTGTCATTGTTGATTGGTTGTTGATTGCCTACTGACTGTCTTACTGTCAACTTGTCTTTAGTTCACTCACACAGTGGAACTGCTCCGACCCCACCGGTGTTGATAATGATAGCAAAGTAAACAAGCCAGAAGAGGACCATCAAGACGACCTTAAACAAAACTGGATACACGAAATGAAGCCTCTCCCATACCCTTGCACCACTAAAATTGATTCCAGCTGTGCATTTGGTCATTTTCGCTTTCAATTTTAGATCTCTGCGCTGCGTCGTCGGCCATGCATAAAGACCGAAATCAGTGATCGATATCTAAATAGTTGATCAATATATCGCGGATCGATCTATCGATCATAGAGATAGATCCATAAGGCGTTATGAGCCAGCTGGGCCTTGAGGCTATGCCAGAATTAGTTACAGAGGCAAATTCTCCAGGTGCGGAGGTAGTGGAGAGGCGGCCGAGAGGGGGGGGGGGGGGGGGGGGGGGGGGGCACAAGGCATAACATTTCTGACAAGCAAGAACAAAAAGTCTCGAGGCGGTTTCGCCTGCATTGTGCAATAATCGGGTCAGGATTCTGGTTAGGTGAAGAAAAAAATGAGAGCGGGAACCGTGAAGCGTGCTGCCCGCTTTTCTAGGCTTTATAATCCGCTTTGCCTGAGAATGGTTGGAATAATTAATTTCAGTTCAAATCAAGCAAACTGTGTGCTTTAAAAGAGTAAAACATTATGTAGGTCTACATGAAATATAATTGGCTTTGGAAAGCTTTAGCGGTGTCAAAACTAGACACTGTCCCCTCGCATTTAACCGTCGGTGTCGGATCCAAATGCTTAGTCTATTAAACAACCCTACCTGTATAGTGTACACCTCACACAGATAGCTGTTAAACTTTTTTTTATTAATCTTTATGAACAACAAGATACTAGAAAGACGCTTGGAAGTAGGGCTAAGTCAGAGAGTCAATGCATTGCATAGATGAATAATATTGAGAGCACTAAATGATTATAGAAAATGTTGAACAGTCCGCCGTAAATATTGATTATCATAAAGAGCTTCTGACTGCATTGAGTATCATCTACCAACAAAATGACACATTTACTTCATACAAGAAGAATCTGTAAGTTTGGTTTTATCATGTTTGTTGAAGGATTATTTCATAGACTTTGTATTCCTATAATTTCTGTTTTTCCCCTCTTTTTTTTAGATCAGTATTAATATAAAAGCATTTTATCATTGTATTCGACCAACTATGTCTGAATAGACTTGTACTCCGCTGAAAATGTGCCAAAACCAGTCATGTCCATATCAGAATGTTCGTTGTGTTATAGCTATAAATTGCATTAGACAGTGCCATATGTCATCTAATTTGCATTATATTAGAAATTCCTCCAAAGTGGACAAATTTGGCATCTATAGCAAATCTAATACGTCCATTTTCACTAGAAACAGATAGGCCTATTTTGCTACGGAAAGAGACATTTGGCGAGATATGGTTTCGGAAAATGGAGAGTATAATGTTAAAAGCCCGTAAAAATTTGAGCCCTGTGCGATGCCTGTTTGAAAACGCTCGGTGTGTTTGGGGGATGTCACTCAAATGGTGCTTTTGTGTATATTTTTAACATCTTTTGCACTTGCGCACATTGAGCATAAAATTTCAAATGAGTTTGGCGGCTTCTATAATATTATTGACTGTTATGAGAGGCCTGGCTGTTTCATAAGCTCGAAGGGACGTTGCATATCCTCCCATGACCCCAATGTGCGCCTGGGTGGGCGGCGCGCCTGGGGAGGACATGCAACATCCCTGAGAGAATTCTAGGACACCTACCACTAATAACCAGGGACGTAACCAGAGTTTGATGTTTTTTTTTTTGGGGGGGGGACATAAATTATATTGTTAGCGATCGACGTCCTGGGGAGGGGTCTAAAAAAGTTCAACCTCCCGTGGCTACGTGCCTGTGGATAACCACCCCCAGTCGACTACACCCTAGGGCAACCACCCTCTAGGTCGACTACCCCCTGGGACAACTAACGCCCAGACAACTACCCCCCAGTAAACTACCCCCTATAGGACAACTACCCCCTAAAAGACAACTACGCCCGGATAACTACCCCCCGAACAACTACCCCCTTCGACAACCATCCTCTAGGACAACTCCGGTCAAGTATCCTAGGGGGTAGTTGTCCGGGGGTTAGGTGTCTGGGGGTAGTTGTCCTAGGGGGTAGTTGTCTGGGGGTAGTTGTCCGATGGGTAGTTGTCCCGGGGGGTAGTCGTCCTATAGAGGGTTGTTGCCCTAGGGGGAAGTTGTCCTAGGGGGTAGGTGACTGGGGTGGTTATCCGGGGTGGATGTCCAGGGGTACGTGTTCGGATTGATACGCCCCGAGAGCCATGCCTCAAATATTAAAGCAATCAATATGTCTTTTATATACCAAATTGACACAAAAATCTAACAAGAATTCTTAGTTTTCCCTTCTCTTAGTAATTGGTTAAAACATCACGGAAATCATGGGACACTGTCTGTTAATCTTCGCTGAACAGATGACTGAATGTTACAATCATTTGGGAATCGCTGAGAAAAAGCACTTATACACGCTCGCACAAACTAAGTTTTAACACGTTAACCCATGGGGATCCCAGCACAATTTTACTATTTCCCGGTACCCGGAATCTTGCGGGAATCTCACTATTTAACTATTTACCGGTACTGGCATTGTTCGTTTCTCTACGGGAGTGGCTAAAATCAAGACTCCAATTTCGACTAATCAGATGGCTAGATTTCTAAAGAGAGGTATATAGAATACGCTATTCAATTCAATTCAATTCAAATTTATTGGTCCAAAAGGAAATTTGTTGCGTTTACATGCATTATTCACAGAAAAAAATATATAAGATGTAGATGTGACATGACACATACAACGTTAAAACGATTATAAAGAGAATAAACATATTTTAACATTCACATTATATAGATATTTTCTCTAATTTTACAATGCATTCAATGTTTGTTCAAATATTCAGAGTAATTACCAACGCAATATTACATTGTTATTGTCATTATTATCAATATTATTTTTTGTGTAATTGTTATTATTATTAGTTTGACTCAGTATATCATTGTAATGAAATATTGTTGTTAGGTAAACAATAAACCACAAACATTTTAACAATCAGTAGAGTTTATCATTATAATTTTCTATATGGTGGAAAAATAACCATGTATATATTCTAGTAAGTTACAAAGAATGTTCCTATCTTCTGGGGTAATGCAATATCCCATTCTTATAAATCCACAACAATTCTTGTCCCTATCAATGAAACCTTAATATGAATGCAGTATATTAATTACTACGTTATGGCATGTAAGTAGAAATACAGAGGAGACTTTTTCATTTCATTTGAGGAAAAGATGGCTTTTATAAGAAAACTAATATAATTTTCCTATAATAAATACGATTAAGTTTGTTATCATTTCCTACAAGCAAATAATATCATGCAAATCATACATTTTACTTTTTATATTTCATTCAACAAACGGATAGAGTACGGAGCAAATGAAATCTGGTAACTCGAAGTGCGGGTTTTCTTCGACTGCAACCTTTATATACCACTTCTCAGCCTGACATAATTTTAATTCAGGGGGTGACTTGAATCTCTTGAAACCTTGACAGCTGTACACATTGTTTTATCTATTATTTTGGCTGCTTGTTTGTTGATGGTTTTGAATTTTTCTTGGTATTTCTTTCTGGCACTATTGTACCACACTACACAATTATAATTTATGTCATTATACTTTCAACTATGGACCGATACAAAAAAAGTGACAGTATGGTCCTATCAGCGTGGTATGAATGCAAATTTTCTCAGAAACTGCATCCGCTGGCTCCCTTTTGTTGCGAGGGCTTTTGTATGCCCATTCCAGACCAGTTCATTGTCAATGTGTGTGCCCAAACATTTGTATGAAGTAACAATTTCAATATCTTGCCCTTTAATGCTTACAGGGTGGTCAACCTGGTTTGCTTTCTACTTTGATCCTGAAATCAAACAGGATCTCTTTGGTTTTCTGAACATTCAGCTCCAGATAATTTTCCACACACAATGAGTTGAAATGATTGATTGATTGATTGATTTTTATTCGACAAGCTTCCAACATATAACAATAAACAATAACAACAGATTAACAGATCAAAATTAAGGCAGCTTTAATAGGATAACCCACGAAAGCTTGAGAGCTTATTTTCAGTGGGGTCCCCACTATAATGTACACAATCTCTTTTCATCATCTTTAATCAGCCCTATACGATGGCAATTTAGTCTGAATACTTGAAAGAGTGAACATTTTTTAAATGAGATAGGCAGTCATTGGTATAGAGAATGAAAAGAGTCTGGGAAAGTACACATCCCTGGGGTGATCCAGTGTTGGTTATCCACCTAGGAAACCTTGTACGAGTGTAATGGATGATGTTATTATCTTTCTGTATAAGTCTATATGTTATATTAATCATATAGCATAATAAGATCATTTTTTTAAATCTTGCAGCGTAAATTTATTATTTGTGTACAATGTTGACAAATTAAAATTAACAAATTTGCTTTATTATCTTCAAAATACTTTCATACATTTTTTAATATCGTAAAAGGTACGAGTGATTAAATATTCATTATAAAGTTAATCGAATTTTTTTATTGAACTGAAGTGCTCATCATTTTTATTTTCGTCATGATCACAGGAACCCCAGACTTCTATAAGATTTGTAACCGTGCATTGGTCACTTGATCTATTATTTACATTGCTTTTTATTTAAAAATGTACTCCTCACTATAAATTTGGTTTGCTCTTCAAAATATGATTTTTATTCTTGTTATATTCACAAATTAAATGTCACTTTTTAACATACGAGCATCATGTTTGCTTTACTATAACAAATGTCCAATATATCATACTATAATTGCCCATCGAAACAGACGATCTATTTGTATCTACGTAATGTTTTAAAATCACATGTACATTATATTAGGACAGACAATATGCGAATTATGGGCTTCTTTTGTGAAAAAATATCATGTTGTAAGACTAGAACTTTTCTAATAGATTTATAAAAATCTATTTAATGGTTGTATAAGCTACTAGCATACTACGTCAATATGCATAAGATGGGTTACTATAATGCACAGAAGACGAGTCCTCAGACGAAGAACAAGTTTCTGTAGTCCCGTTTGTATTCATTGGTGTCGGTCCTGAACTCCGCTTTGTGTTCTGGTCTTCTCTAAAGACTCCACAAGAAAGAATTCGACGCCATCGCTCTCTGATGGTTGCCTTACGAAGACAATACAGGGCGAAGATGAAGAAGCCTAGTAAGGAGTTGGAGATGATGAAGAGGGTGTTGGCGATGTCTACATTGATCAGGGTCAGGTATCCAGTGATCCAGGTGAAGCCAAGCAGGATCAACATGGCGATACCATTCTGGATTCGTTCTAGGGTCTCTTGTCGTTGGTCTCTGTAGTCCTTCTTCACACGACCTTCCTTTCTGGCAGATTGCTTCAAGTGACGTATGGCCAATATGAAGATGACGGTGTCGACAAGGAGGATGATGGCCATTGGTACAAGAAGACCATCGATCAACGACCACTTATGGATGAAGCAACTGCACAAGGGGAAATAATATACATTAAAAAACATCCTCATCATCATAATCATACATTTCCGGGGGATATTTGTTGTTGTTTTTTTTTTAGTCTTTTTGTAATGATGTTTTGGTGTGATAATTGATTGTTTTAGCTCCACATTACAACAAAAATGATTTGTATTTCTGTTTTATGCTTATTGAATTTCGTTGCTACATTTACAATATGGTGAAATAGTATAGTATTATAGATGAAGGGCCTACATACGGAAACGCCGTCAGAACCAACATTTAATACTTACTAATCTTCAACGGCATACGAGTTCCGAGCGATTCCTCCAGTCAAACCAACAATAACTGCCGGAATGCCTATCAGTTAATAAAAAAGAAAATAAGAGAGATTAATTTAGGCTAAATTTCATTCCATACCATACCCACGCCCCCCCCCCCTTCTATCTCTCTTTCTCTCTCTCTCTCTCATTCTATCATTTTTCCCTCTAGCTTTCTCTACCATTTCTCTCGTCTCTCTATTTCTATGTCCACCTTTCTATTTCTCTCACCTCTTTTCCCCATCGTATTTTATGTCAATATCTCCCATTTCTGTGTTATTTCTCAACTTTTATTAACAGCAATTAATAAGAAGACATCCGATTAAAAGACATAAATCCCGTCATTTTCGGACAAGTGAATGAGCAATGTGTAGTCGAACCTTTTTTGTACATATCAAGTGGGGAATTTTCCAAGTCACTTTCTACACCTCAACAAGACCTCTCCCTTTTTTTTCTACTTTTTTTCTTGGCAGTTTGTTATGAAACAACGGCCTGTGAGCCCAAAAGATTTTTTGTTAAATTTGCCGGAAAAAGTCCTGTCTGGTCGTTCAGATTTGACGCGGCAGAACCGCATCGGTTATCTAATGATGACGTAAAGTGTAATACGCTTCACGTTTTCTGTGTCTATAAAGCTCAGTGAATATGCGCAATCAGAACTGTGCCCTCGATCATGGCGTAAAAAACCGCGGCCGCCTTTTTTGTAGCGGTTTACTGCGTCATAATAATAGTATGCTTGTGGAAACACTCAGAAGCACAGATGGTAAAATGGAAAAGAAGATAAACTTTTATAAATCAGTGCATTACCGATGCAATAATGTCAATTAAATATTTGGGTCTATTGAAAAGTTGGAGCATTTGTCGATTGGTAAAGTACATCAATGATGCAGATAAGTCTTATTGAATTGAAATAAATGATCAACTTTACCCCATCCGACCACAGCAGCTTTGATCATAAACTTCGGTATGTAAGTATCAAAGACTCTGATGATGACCAGGTAAGTATGAAACCCCTCGATGCCCATCCACGTAATCGAAGAGAGCACGAAGTAGTGGACGAGTGCCGCCAGGACGATACATGGTATCCCCACGACCTCAGCATGCTGGAACTCCGTGTCGAGAGCCACGATGACCAGGAAGGTGGAGTATAAACAAAGGAGAGTGACGCACAGACAGATAAAGATCCGGTGTGTTTGAGAGCTCCGAACTCTTCTGTTAACATCAAAGAATGAAATGTGTGTTAATATCGAAAGGCAGTGGTTTAACACAGGGAGTGGGGCGGGTTTCGGGGGAAGGGGGCGATTTTCGCTGCAACGAACTTTTCATGAAAGTTTTTAGAATTTAGAATTCAAAAGAATTTATCGGTAATTGATCGTGATCGACTTTTTTACCACATGATGAACGAAATTATGTTAATTAATAAGAAACAAAATCAGATTTGTCATTTATATAATGAGAATCTAAATTTCGATGAAACAACAAGGTGGCATATTGACGACTGTTTTTATTTATCAATAATACCTTCGTATTATATTTTGTCTTTGTTCAAAAGTAAATCATAAGTTGTGGCATTTGACAACCATTTTCGCTAAACAGGCCTATTGGCAAAATTTCGCGAAATTTTGAATAAAATATATCCCTTCTGTGTCCATCCCTCTATTTCCACCAGCCAACTGTATATTATTTTACACATGCCCATTAGTTATACTTTAACTGTCTGTAAGGTGCCACCGGTGAATTGAAAATTAAATTTTAGTGGTGCTATCTGGTGGCCGAAATAATTCGTAAGCGAGAAGAAGAAAAATCGCGAAAAGAATGGTACAATTTCAGTGACTATATTCTGCAAAGACAGCTGTAAAATGCCACCATAGAAAGTCCACTTACTTGATGCTGAGATAGGAGATCAGTGTGATGAGCAAACACACACATGAAATGGTGCAACCAGCGATACTGGATACACGCAGTAATGGGTTGGGAGGTACCTCCATCGCGTAGATGTCCTAGGGTCAAAACAATAACGTGAAATTGAGCAGAGGTGGGAACGGAGGGGCGGAAAGTGAACACTACTGCAGACTTTGGACATTAAAGAGTGGCAGATGGGAAATACATCATGATTATAGTTAACCTAAAACCTCAGCTTACTTGCAACCTTTCTATTTGTTTCTTCAATTTTCACCGAATTCTTGCATGCTTCCTCTTTATAGATTTGCCTCCCCCCCCCCCCCCCCCCCCCCCATTCCCCGGAGATGGACCGACACCTTGATTATTAAATTATAAGTGCGTATAGTTATGCAGAATCGGCCCTTATGCCTAAGGATGAAGAAAAAAATCCTTCTAAGAAAAATCTAGAAATGCGCACTTTTTAGGAGCCCAAAATCTATGTATGAAGATGTTCTTACCACCAGAACAGCAAAGTTTGTCAAGTGATCACAGGAGCATGTGTAGTATTCATCTTCAATGCCGTCGACTTCCATTGAATTTCTCATCGAATCATCAGGTAACAGTTCACATCCAGTCCTAGACCATTTGCCAAGACTATACTCCCAGAAGTTACAAGTCGGATTACGGGAGCCAGCCTGATCATGATACAAGAGGAATCAAATATAATTAAATTTGAAAAGGGGAGATAGCTAGAGAGAAAGACTAGAGAGAGAGAGAGAGAGAGAGGGGTAAGTGATAATAACGTAATTATGTAGCTTAATTTGACAATTTCAGAAACTCCATTTGAAAGATTGATCGGAGAGGATTTAAAGCCTTAACTAAGGACACATGAATGTTTAATCCATTCATTCTTTTTTGTCAGTCATGATAAGATAACATAAATCCTTGATAATTATTTCAAGAAATCAGTCAATATTATATTATATTTCGTATGGTATCACCAGAACACTTATTTTACCATCAGTCTAGAGAAGGTGATATTAATGGGTTCCATCAAGTGTTCAATCTTCCGCCCTCCGATTACTAAGGAGACAACCGGTGTGTTGACAGTACGGTTGAAGTCTTCCGACTCCTGGTTGAGTTGGGCGAGAGTTGGTGATGGGAACATGACATCATCGACGTATACGAGGAAGACAATTCGTAGATAGTCACTGATCACACTCCCTGGATCCCCTGACAATCCTGACCGGGTCGTTGATCCTGGGTTACTTCCAGGGAGTTGGGTAGCTAAACTCTCTGATTCTATAGTCGCCTTTGGCACGGTGACAATCTGGGTAGCTTCGATGGGAACAACAACCCTGGCAAAAGTGTCTTCAGCGATCGTTTCGGTTGGGGTATCCTGGTGCGTTCCCACCTTGACATTGCTGCTGCTCAGGTCTTCCTTGTTTTCAGTAAACATGGTTACAACTAGGCCATCGAGAACACTCTCTGAAGGTAAATCAAGTACCTGTACCCACCCGATAACAAAAGAAAGTATGAAAACAACAAGCACAGTGCATAATAATTGCATTATAAGACACACTAGATTAACATTGATATATAACTAACATTGGCAAGTCTGAATGTGCGATCTCATTCAAGACACAGTAAATGACTTGAAGCGAAGTAGGCCTAAATGTCATAATTACATGAAAAATTCCTTCAAGACATAAGTAGCCGAAGGAGAAGAAGATCATTCCATTCACTAAGTGTTATGCTATGCGGTAATCTTAAATCCCAATAGGATAATTATCCACAAAATCAACAAGACATTGCAAACCTTCAGAGATATCTCAACAGTAGATCGGTTTACTAATGTTTTCAAACTAATTAGATGTTATGGAGGACATACATGATTGTATAGTGACGAGTTATTCCATTAAACTGGTATTAGTCAATGAACAACAATACTTGGAACTCAGTCTCCATACTTGTACTCTGTCGGGTAATCCTCGAAGAAGCTTTCATTGTTGTCAAGATCAACATTATTTTGTTTAACAAGTATGCATAGAATTTGACTATGGATTGTCTAACATGAAATGTGAGTCTCACATACAAGACCGACACTAGACCAACCCCTAAAGAGTGCATTACCCTTCTGGCAAAAATTAAGTCGTTTTGGAGTCAGTCTGGGCCCGATTTGTACTTCTACAAACAAAAGTTACCTTCGCTGCAATATTTGTATAAGATGTATCGAATGAGCCAGTATGTACGTCAACAGTGTTCAGTTGTGATTCCATGATTTGGACAATCGCAGTGGTGAAGTTTCCTTTCCTTTGAGCGGAAGTTAGAATCTCTTTCTCGGCATTCATTAAGTTATTCACTATCCCAACTATATCATCGGTAACCTGCCAAATGATCAAACACACATTTTCACAATTTGATACTTGTCTCGATGTTTGAAATAAGATACTAAATTACAACCTATTATACAATAAAAGAAAAAAATGTTCCCGTGAATTAAAATAATTGACAAATTATGGTAATTTGGTCTTACTTACCCGGATTCGCCGTATTAGCATAGAAATTGCCCTTCCTCCGGGCCATACCATTACTATAACCCCTGCAGCATTGTCAGGTACTGACTTAAATAAAAACATCTGGGCCTAGCAGGACGAATTCGGGGAAAATATCTTGTCCAATTAAGGATGTAAGCACTAAGTAAGGATCGAACCCGTGACCTCCCGTATGAGAGTCAAGAGCCTTCACTGTGCTATACAGTCATACACCATGTTAACCTTGGTGACATTGTGAATTCATCATGGACAAACATGACAAACATGCAAATCTATGTAAATCATATACGTTTGACATTTGGTTATATACTCAAAAATACTTTACCGTCCAATTCAAAATAGACTATTATAACCTTATAAATATTTTGCATATATTTTACCGTCAAAATATTTGATCATAATTTGATTAATACCAGTTTATGTAATTCTACCAGCTGATACGAAAGGATAACTAACTCAAATCAAATCTATTATTCAGCTAGTATTTTGTTCCGTTGTGGTTTGATTTCGATACATTTTATAGACGCTGTGATTTCTTAAGTTGTGTATACATTGAATGTATAGAGCAAGTTCGGATTTGTTTTCCCCTTCATTTTATTGTTGTCATGTTTCTGATTTCGTTGAAGATCGGCTTGCATTGACAAGGTAATAATAATGATTTTTTGTTTGTTTAACCAAGAGAAGCCATACCCGCATTATTGCTGTTCTTCCTGAGAACCCTGCCATTATTATTACCAAAGCAGTTGTCAGGTGTCCATTTCCACCTGGGTGGAGAGTGGCAAATGTGGATTTATGTCTTGCCAAAGGAGGTAAGTGCCGAGCTGGAATTCGAACCCTCAACCCTTGGATTGAGACCCTAGTAAATAATCTACCACTAGTTAACCTGTAAAACTCACATTAGCATCGGTGGAATTGAGGTAAGATATCTGCTGCAGGATATCGACGAGTAAACCCATATCTGTGACCGTGATGTATTCAGTCTCTTCTGTGATAAGAAACACTGCTCTGGAAATGTTACTCAGATTATCGCCAGATATTCCAGTCTATGAAAGAAACAAAGTAAAAAGACGAATCTGCATAGGCTTTAAAACTTAACAATATTACATTTTTTAAATTTATCAAAAGACACTTTTCTTTAAATTAACAAGATTCGATTTTTTTTATAAATAATTTGTCCACATTTAATGATGGTATGGGATGAGGAGCAGACCAACTAGGCATGAATTGACAACATCAAGCATTGGACGGGAATATAATTTGAGCAGCTAACTAGAATAGCTGAAGACAGAATGTTATGGATCGACGTCCATTTCATTGTCATGATTGTAGCCCCAACGGCATTCCAGCTATGGGACATAATGCAGATAGATTGGTTGGAAAGATAATGATCATGCACATTTCGATAAGCATTATTTTCTAATCAAACAAAATGAAAAGCTCTATATTCACTGATGGAATGCATTCTACACTAAATCTTGACTGTCCACCGTTCTCTTGAACCTAGTCGGTGATGCTCTACGATCTAAGAAAAAAAATTGTTACGATTTTTGGATTGTTTGAAACACCTGACAGCCAGTTTTTTTTCTTTCGCTATTCCCAAATCCAATAATTTTGTCCACATAAAGTTGTTGAATGAAGGCATAATTGTTATTTCTAACGTTCGTTATTCTGTTGTTTCATGAATTCAAACGTTCATAAATCCGAACACATGTACGAATTTCTTTTGAGCGAGAGTACCTACTCAGAAAATATCAATCCCTCAAAAAAAATATTAGGAACTCAAGTTTGATCGATTATTTCTCTCCTGTCATTGAATAAATATCGCTTTGTTTAGTATCACTGCAAAGTCTGTTTATTGTTCTTTAAAATGTTACAATATTGTTATGACTTTGCAGCCATGGAATAAGCAGTACATCATAATAAAGGGCGGGGTCAACGGTGAAAAGTTGCAAAATACATTGGTAAGCACTGGTGTTGAATATGCAGTACACTACACAGCAGCTCTACACTCTTCAAAGAAGGAAGAATGCATAGCAGAACCAAAGCAGTAGAATTCGTAGCTTTTCACTTGTGACCTTGCCCATTATCTAAATGCAATGCACATTCCATGACAGAAAAATCATAACACATGAGTATCATTGTAAAAAGGAGTAAATTGAATCCAAACACAGCGATGATTATGCCATAACAAGAGAGATGTAATCAATCAAACTTGACTTTCCTAACCTTTTTGTGAGGGGTTTAGAAAATCAGCTTCGTTTCCCAAGCTTTTTGAGGTATTATTTAGAATGTTCATATCTTACACAGATAAAAGGGGCATAACTAGTCTGCTCAAATCAATACTGTTTCATCTTCGAAATTACCAACCCTGACCCAGATTCGAAATTAAAGTCCTTCGGAGTATCGCCTTCAGATGATAAACCTTCTGAATCAACAAACTTAGGGTCAATGAACCTTCTGCAAACTGAATAAAGAACCATCTAAAACCGAGCCGTAACTATGGTAACCGTTGAATAAGAACAATAAATAGAGTGAATTGGACGTGTTTGCCGACTTTATCAGTCATCCGTAAGTATACCTTTAAAATCCCTGCCAGTGATCTTGTCATATTTCCCTCTGTAATGGTTCCGTCTGTCGTGGTCACTTCTGTCGTAGTTCCTCCTGGCGTAGTTCCTCCCTTTGCCGATGTACCTACTGTCGTTTTACCTACTGTGGTCATTCCTGTTGCCGAAGTTCCTTCTGCCGTAGTTCCTCCAGTCGTTGTTCCCTTTGCCGATGTTTCTTCTGTCGCGTTTCCTCCTGTCGTAGTTCCTCTTGCCGAAGTTCCTTCTGTCGTAGTTCCTCCTGTCGTAGTTCCTTCTGTGGGACATTTGATATCGATGTCCCAAGAGACATAATAAGAGACTCTGTGCATGGACTGTCTACTTATCTTTCACCACTGCTGAGCTGAGTGTGACGTCACAATAGAAGACTCTGCTGAGTGTCTACTTATCTAAGCGTCCACGTCGCGGGGCTGGAAACTGGACATCGTCCTGAGCTAATTCTACCACCACCATCATCCATCCATCTCATCTACTCTTACCAGCAAGTAAATATTATCTAATAATGGCTCCCACTGATTGTCGCCGGAAGCATGCATCCTCTTCAGGACGGAAGGTAACAGTGATGTCCATCAACACTGAGGGGTTTTCAACAGCGAAACAACAACTCATTGGAAAGCTCTGCAAAGAGAACGACTGTGTAGCATTATGTCTACAAGAGACCCACAGAGGCCACCAACACATTCGACCGAGGATTCCTGGAATGAAGTTGGCTATAGAGAGGCCACATGAGAAATATGGAAGTGCGATCTTTGTTAGGAAAGATGTGATCATCGATCAGACCTCACTGACTGAAGAGGATAACATAGAAGTCCTTGCTGTCAACATGGGGAAACTATCAGTCACTTCTGTTTATAAACCTCCGGGATCTACATTTGCCTTTACTGAACCTCAATCTTTCGACTATGACCTTGTTAATGTTATTATTGGAGATTTTAACAGCCATAGCACCTCGTGGGGATACGAAGAAACAAATGAGGACGGTGACCTTGCTGAGGCCTGGGCAGAGGCACATCATCTTGACCTAATCCATGATGCTAAGCTCCCCCATTCCTTCAATAGCTGTCGATGGAAGAAAGGTTATAATCCAGACCTATCCTTTACAAGTGAACGAATATCATGCCAAACCAAGAAGAGAGTCCTGGAGCCAATACCACATTCACAACACAGACCAATAATCGTTGACATTACTGCTGCTGTGGTACCTCAGAGAGTTCCCCTACGACGCCGTTTCAATTTTCGTAAAGCTGACTGGGAGAAGTTCGCCATCGATCTAGATGAAGCTTTATCTGATCTTGACCCAGTCCCGGCAAACTACGACCAATTCGTCCGGACTGTACAGGAGATATCCAGGAAGCACATTCCACGTGGATGTAGGGAAAACTACATACCTGGATTATCAGCTGAAAGTGCCTTGATGTACAAGGAGTACATAAAACTCTACGAGGAAGACCCCTTTTCAGAGGAAACCTTGAGTGCAGGTGAGCTCCTCATGGCAGCAATATCAGAAGAACGGAGGAAGTCCTGGCAAGATCTCATTGAGGGTGTTGATATGACGCACAACAGTAAGAGAGCTTGGTCTACCATTAAGAAAATCAGTAACGATCCCAAGAAGTCTACACCCCATTCTAATGTTACTGCAGATCAGGTTGCCCACCAACTTCTCCTGAATGGCAAATCGGCACACAAGAAACGCCACAAAAGGAATCCTTGGCCACAGGTTGACACAGAATCTACCTGGTACTTTAACAACTTGGAACTCCAGACGGCTATTGACTCCCTTAAGAATGGCAAGGCAGCTGGTCTTGATGACATACGTACAGAACAGATCAAACATTTTGGGCACAATACACAGGAATGGTTGCTCTCTCTGTTCGACAACTGCGTAACCCTCTCCCAGCTTCCTAAAATCTGGCGGAAGGCCCGTGTGATTGCTATCCTCAAGCCAGGGAAAGACCCTAACGAAGCAAAGAGCTACAGACCAATCTCCCTGTTGTGCCATCTCTTCAAGCTCTTTGAGCGCCTCATCCTGAACAGACTGGGGCCAGTCACAGAACAACACCTGATACCAGAGCAAGCAGGTTTCCGGCCTGGAAGATCGTGCACTGGCCAAGTGCTAAATCTAACCCAGCACATCGAGGATGGTTTCGAGAAGAATGAACCGACTGGAGTTGTGTTCGTCGACCTGACAGCTGCCTACGACACTGTTAACCACCGTATACTTCTCGACAAGCTCTATACCATGACAAAGGACTCCCATCTGACTAAACTTATCCAAATGCTCCTGGAAAATAGACGCTTTTATGTTGAGCTCAACGGGAAGCGCAGCAGATGGAGGAAACAAAAGAATGGTCTACCTCAGGGCAGCGTAATTGCTCCTGTCCTATTTAATGTTTACACCAACGACCAGCCAGTGTACCCAGGGACAAGAAGCTTCATCTATGCTGATGACCTTGGCATAGCAGCCCAGAATTCCCACATAGACAAGATAGAAACCACTCTTTCATCAGCCCTAGACAACCTGACAGACTACTACAACAACAACCATCTGAAGGCTAACCCTGCCAAGACCCAGGTTAGCTTGTTCCATCTCCGCAACTACAATGCTGGGAGGAAGCTGTCCCTGAAATGGAACGATGTCTCATTGAAACACTGCGACCACCCTGTCTACCTTGGAATCACTCTCGACCGAACCCTTTCATACAAACAGCATGTTCAAAAGGTGAAGGGTAAAGTTGGGACAAGGAACAACCTACTACGGAAACTGGCAAACTCATCTTGGGGTGCCAATTCCTCCACGCTGAGGTCAACTGCTCTTGCGTTGTGTTACTCTGCAGCAGAATATGCCTGCCCTGTATGGGGAAGATCATCCCATACAAAGAAAGTTGATGCAGCACTCAACGACAGCTGCAGATGCATCACTGGCTGCCTCAAGCCCACGAATGTGGACAGCTTGCACTCCCTGGCCGGCATTGCTCCATCCGATGTCCGCAGAACAGTTGCAAGTAGGACTGAACGCAGCAGACAAGTTGAGGACACCCGCCATCCCCTTTACTCGCATCAACCGGCCCCTACCCGCCTGAAGTCAAGGAAAAGCTTCCTTCATACAGTCCAGCCACTGTCACAACCTGCTCATTCAACCAGAGTGATCTTGTGGGAAGAGAAACGTTCTGAAAACCACCACCATGAAAAGCTACCAATCCCGACCAAGGAACAGCTGCCCCCTGGCCATAGATGTGATTGGAAGACGTGGAAGTCCCTCAATAGGCTTCGCACAGGTGTGGGGCGATGTAAATACAACATGAATAAATGGGGATATACTGACGACACAGACACCAACTGCGAGTGTGGAACATCCGTGCAATCCATGTCACACCTATTAAGATGTCCACTCCTAATCGACCAATGCTGCCTGGAAGACCTGGTGGCAGCAAATGAGAAGGCTCTCCAGTGTGCCAAGGCCTGGCAGAGCATTTGAGGACACGAAAGAAGAATACAAGGTGTATATATCCTTTTCTTGAACATGATATTATTTATTTTTGGTGCTTGATAAATCTTTATAGATATTTATCACAACTATGAAATTTTAGATGGTTACCATTTCGTGTTTGTTTTTTGATTTTTCTTCTTTTTACTTTTTTTCAGTTATGAGTTATGAGTTTTTGATCGATCGGGTGGGTGGTACATGTACGACATTACTTATTATAGGCTCTGTATAAGCTTGGCTTGTTAGAACTCTTGTGAGTAATGTGCCGCGGGATTCCATATCCTTAAACTGCTGGCGAACAGAGCAACAAGACCAAGCTCTGTAATTATTAGGATCTCTGTCCAGTAGTGCCGTGTTTGTGCCATCTAACTCGATCGACCAAATCAATTGATTCATAATATATGTATATGCAATATTTTTTCCCGTAACTTGAGAGTAATTTTAATAGTTTCATACTATTAATTAAATGTATTGTTAACTGTAACTGTATAATTGTTTTAAATGGGGGCACGCTACAAGAGTCCTATCTCGCACCCCGGGGCAACGTGTCTGACACGGCCGGTTGTAGCAACTACTCCGAAGATCAAGATTACAGTAATCTTGATCTAAGGAGACACGAACGAACGATGTCCCAAGAGGCTGTGCCGTTGCTCCCGAGCTGACAAACCGCGTTAATGATTGGTATAAGAATATCTTTGAAAATAAAAAGGGAAAGATGTTTTCAGGTAAAAGTTAAGATGTTATGATCCAGTTATTTTATGATGAATAAATTTAATCTGATATTAAATTTTACCTGGACATAACTCCATAGAGTCGATAGTGGTTCCCACCTCAGATGCAGGAAGTCTTACATCTCCAAAGTCAGATGCTACTGTTGTGTTTGAGCAGGCGAGTCCTAATGAGAGAATAAATTATGATTGTAACGGTCAAAATTATATAAATACTTTAATTAAGTAAGAAGGAAATTTATATCTAAAATATGTTGTTTGCAGACAAAATCAGAATATTTCTTTCAGTTCAAGAAAGTGGTATTGCGCTAACATCAAGAAGGGAAAGATTGACACTTTGTTAGCTTGCTTTGATATTAAATTTGATATGAAAGCTGATTATAAGACCATTAATACTCACTGAATATCACTTCGACATCAAAACAACACGTCGCTGCAACTTCTTGCGTGTCTGAAGAAAAGACATACTGAACAGAGGTCTGACCAACTGGAAACCGGGTGCCAGGGACATGGGATTGTGACGTCATAACGACCGATGTTAGACTGGAGATCGGTTCGATCCAAGTTACTATTGCAAAGCGATCGTTGGTCAAAGAGTCTGTATTTAATATTCGCTGTATGGCTGTGGGGCAGCCTGTGATTAATGTATCAGGTTCGACACCTGAGGAAGGTCAAAAGCATATGGAAGGAAGACGTAAGACTGTTGAGATAAACCTGAAATAAACATTTTTATTTTATTTACCTGCCTGCCAGCCAGCATCAATAGTTGATGGTCTATTTATTATTTTTTACTCGTTAATATGAATTTGTTATTGATAAAGTTTGTAAAATTAAATTTTCTATATAATTTGCAAATCGAGGGTGAGATATATTTCATTTTGTCGTGTTATTATGCAATTCGCATAGTTAATGACGGATTTGATCCAAATTGCAATTTGCAAAACTTCATCAAACTTAAAATAGTATTAGATTAACCATATTGTCTTAAAGATAGTGAATAAATAGACAGGAGATATCTTACGTCCAAATCCTACATGATTTAACTAAATATTTTATACTTTTATCCAGAGGTACATGTGCTTGTAAAGAGTACACCTATATATAGTTTTTTGTTTAAATATTACAAAAGTTTTTTTTAAGCAGCATAGGTACGACCATATGCATACAACCGATACGTACTGCATAGGCCGCACATGGCAGGACACTGCTCTAAGACGAACTCAAAACCTTGTATCATCCCTGAACATAAGATCTGTGGCCATCCCGTACCACAGTTTGCATCGTAATCGCCACAAGGAGCTATATAGAAAAGAAATGTAAAGAAAATGTTATGCAGGCCATCCATTTACATAATTAGAAGAGGATCAACGCAAATAAAGTGGAATAAAAACTCCTATTAACCGGGACAAAAATAAGCTTTCGGTGACGAATAATAAAGTTGAAGGAGGATATTTTTATTCTTATCACTCTAAAATAAAGAGAGATTTTCAGGGCACAAGAGCTCCTGCGTAGGCCTATCCCCTCCCTCATCGGGAGAACAGAAAGGAGGGAGAGAGAGAGAGACAGAGGGGTGGAGAGGGAATAAGGAGAGGGGGAAATGAATGTACAAACAAGGACCCTATCAGTTCATCACATCACATCACATCACATCATGGTGAAATTATATTACTTCATGGTGAAATCATATCACTTTCAATTAATATTTGTAAGTAAGTGAATTGGGACTCAGCGGCAGAGTTTCGGACCTGCCTCCAAAACGATCGATGGGGGTTAAGATCCGAGTCAGGTCATTCAGAGCCTGCTGAGAAGAAAAGTTAGTCCCAAAGATTTCTATAGATTATGAGTTATATATTTATATATATATATATATATATGAATATTCCCAAGTAAGGATTAAGGATTGTAAACACAAGATAGAGAGAGAGGGGGGACGGGGTAGATAGGGAGAAGGGAGAGGCAGTGAGGGATGGACAGAGAGAGAGACAGAGAACGAGGGAGGGAGCAAGTGAAATACAGAGACAGTGGGAGAAAGAGACAGAGAGTGAGAGAGAAATATAGAGAGAGAGAGTGATAGAGTGATAATCAAATACAAACCTGAGCAGTCGACACCAGTGAACTGTGGTGTACAAGTACAGGTGCAGTCATCGTTGATAACGCCACAGTTCTTACAGTTAACTTCACATGTAGTCGAACACTCTAACAAAAAAAATGACAAAGAGATAACACAAAAGGATATATCCATATCAACTGAAATAATATAAATGTAGAAATAAGTTCAGATTCAGAAGCCATAAGATTAAATATAAAGATTTGTTGCCTGCATGCTATAGTTCGGACATGTTTTTATTAAAGTTCTAGAATTTCATATACATTTAAAGAAAAGGAAACAAATTATTTCTTTCCACGCGAATGATAGCAAATTCCGTATTCCGTATTAAGCTATCCTAATTTATTGCAATCTTATCATTATTACCAATATTATCGACAAATTTAATTTAAAAGTATGACAATGATTGAGCATTTTCGACTTGATCTTTATAATATTGACAGTCCTACGGGTATTTGTGGTTGAAATTTACATTTCTGTTTTTATCGGCGACATTTGGAACAAATATTTTCAGGGTTAATGTTTGAGTCAGTTTGTTTGTTTTATATTATATCTGTATTTCTCAACTTGATAAAGAGTATAATATGCAGTTATATTATCAACAAAAGTATAAATACATATATATAATATAATATAATCGTGATATAAATCAATTAAATAATTATACCTTTAAAAAACACATAGTTGACAAATCATTTTAAAATTGAAAAAATGCAGAAGACCGCCATCTTAAGCTAGAGCTTCAACATGATGGCGGTCTTAGGAAAAGAACCTACATAGAAGACGAAACCACAGTATTATATAATCATAAAGAGATTAATTAAAACCGCCACATAATGAAGAAATAAATTATTTAAAAGGCATGCAATGAAATGCGTTAAGTATAAATGTGTATATTATGTAAATGTATTTCTTTCGTGAAACGTGTTGTTCATGGTAATTATGTACGTGCAAGTGTGTTCATTTCAGAGAAAACATCACTTCCTTTGGTGATCCCTTCTGGTTATATAACATGAGGCATTGTATCGTTAAGACACACATACGGCTATGTGAAATTTTTTTCACTTGATTTATAATTTTCTTTATGGGCGGCCAGGCAATCCCTTTTCTTATATTAAAGACAGCACAGTCGATCGATGTGGTTGTGTATAACGCTTGCTTTCATTAGACGTGTATGTTTAAACTTACCGCTAACCGTTTCTTCTTCTTGACATATGCCTGCATAGATATGGAAAGAAGGGAAAAAGAAGAAATATAATATTTTCATGCTCAAATTTTCGATTTATTTATTTATTTATTTTGTTTTACCCCGGGTAACCCCACCAAGAACACTAACTATTCGAATCGAAATATAGCAGTGAGTGCGATGATTTATACTCACAAATCACTTTATCACTGTGAAGTCGCTTTCTCGATTCATTCAAACTTTAGATATCTTAACTGACACGCTGTACTATACTTGGGTATCAAAGGACACTTACAAACTTATTTCGAGGGACACATATTAACATGTTACCCATTAAAAAGTGAGAAAAAGAAAAAGGTAGGTGATTCGAACACAATGTCATATTTTCATGAAAACAGATTGAGGCAAAACAAACATTTTAACGAGAATTCCGAAATCAATGCAGACATTGGGTGATAATTCACTTGTTGATACCCCACTAACAGATACAAACAGGAGTCAACAATTAAGTCAGGTTAAGTAGCCACCGTTTTTAATTGTGCTTCATGCTTCACATTTTTGTTCTCATTTCATGAGTGTCCTTAAATTTTCAAAATGTGTATGACATGTCGATGTCGAATTTGTGATATTCTCGCATCTTTTTAACAAATAGTTTCTATTGGGCTTTATGGTAATATTCGAAGTAAGTATGCAATAGGGATCACCATGGTAAAGGAATTATGACAATATTTTGTTATAATCTTTGACAATAATCTGAATAATCTTGACGTGTAAATAAATCTTCCGGCTTGTCTCATCTATTTCCTTTTAGGTTTACTCGTCTAGAAAAATACTGATTGTGCACCTTTCGTAAACATAATGGATGCAGGATACTCACGGCATAATTTGTTATCACAATGCATTACTCCCGATGTACACCTCGTACAACTAGTTCCGTTCTCATATGGCTTGACATCTTTGTTTCCTCTGCATTTCAAAGAATATACATTCCACAGAATAATAACATAAAGTGACACCGAGCTTTAATCATCAAGAAATGCTCTTTAATCAAGGTTCTTTATAAATGAGTTTTTAGGATGATTCAAAATATTTACCTCGAGGGGCAAAGAAAAATGCCTTGCTTAAAAAGAGGGAGCCAAAGCAAAGCGCAGAGTCAACTAAAGTAGATTGATCCCATGAATAATGAATATATACATAAAGATTCACTTCTATTGAGAGAAAGCAATTATGAATGTAAACAAACATGGTTATATTCTCACGTCCTGTTAATATTGATTCTTAAGTATAAATTGAACATGCCCTTGTTAAGCATCTTCAAATCCCTAATTGAATAAGGAACCGAAAGTCACTGATCAAAGATTGAAATGGCCATTGAAATCTCGCATTTTTAAATACATTTATTGTTCTATGTGTGTGTGAGTGAGAGGGAGGATGTGTGCGCGTGCGTGTGTGTGTGTGTGTGTGTGCGTGTCGGTCTGTCTCTCTGTGTGTGCTTTTCCATATTTTTCTTCGATATTTCGGGACAACAATATTTCAACTACATTAATCGTACTTTTTTTTGCTTGATTCAATTTGCATAGTTTAAAAAGGGAAGAAAACAATAACAAGTTTGACGGGGTAATGTATATAATATATAGGGAAAGATAATATTAAACAGACAGGTACAGACATGAGTCACACATAGAGACAGATAGACAGAGAGACAGAGAAAGAGAGAGAAAGAAAGACGGGCTAATCGTGCTCTGTTTAGATTTTAACCCTAAACAAAACAGGGCACCACCACCTGATGGTAGCTGATGGGGAGGGGGGCTTGGGGGGGGGGGGGCAGTTGCCCCCGAAATAAAATTCAAACATGGTTTATTTCTAAATCGATACCACTGATTTATAAATGCTGCTGAAATTACATGAATATTCGGAGCTATTTCTGACTTATTTGTATATTATACTTTTTTTTTCTTTTTGCCCCCCCCCCCCCCCAAAAAAAAAAGAAAAGTTTTGTCATGAATACGTCACTGGGCACGACTATTCGTAAAGACTTGACATCCGCCCACGCTCAGTTGGCACTAACTTCCAGAACGTTTCCCTAATTTCCGACGTTTGTTTTTAATTCAAAGTGTATTTCTAAAAAATTAAGATAAAATTGCCTCCAATGACGTGTAAGCTCAAATAGTCGGGGTAAACATTGCAAAAAGAGATTTGCGACAAAATTTTATAATCGAGTTCGTTGCATAGTTTGGCTGTTATCCTGTACTGTACCAATAGTATTTTGGGTACCACCCATTATTGTTCCGTCTCTTATATTGTGTACATTCCATGCATTTTCATTCGTTTTGTTTGATAACACCTCGCACTTGTTATGTTATAATAGGGGCGTTTACACCTACAGAAAAAAGTGAGATTTAAAAATATATTTTTGCATCGCGATCCAAACATCGGTGTTTGTTTTTTTGAGTATGTGTGCAGAATGATTTCACTTATCTTCGTGATTCGCATAGCGATCCACTTCGTAGTCGTGTTGCAATTTTTCAGAAGGATTGCGATAATTTGCCGGGCGTTGTGTGTGTGAATGGTATTGAGAACCAAAAATCGATTCATTTAATCCCATGATTCCATGCGCGCTTACATTGTCGAAATTTACGCATGCGCAGTTCGGACGTACTTGCCGTCTAGCGAGAATTTTCCCTGTGTGTGAATGGTCGCCCCCAAAAAATCGATCTTTAGATCGCGATCCAATTCGCACTAAATTGACATGTGTGAACGGTTGCCAAAAAACAAATCGATCTTTGCGTCGCGATCCATATCGCAATAATTGTTATGTGTGTACAGGCAAAATAATTGATATAACATTTTTGAACGGTCATTGTTTTAAAGGGAAAGTACTCACTGTTCCAAATAGTTGCAAGCAACGATGTAGTTTGTGGTGAAGTTTAGTGTATCATCATATCCTTCAGCACAAAAGCTTCTGCCACAGCCAACTTTAGATGAAGTATCCCACACCAGCTAAAAGTAATGGAAGGAGAAACATGAATATGAATATTTACCTGTGTATATTTACATGATCATATCAGGCAATCAAACACTGTTACTGGTAACCAAACCATCAATGAAATGCTGCGACATGTTTGGTATTGTGTAAAATAATAATAACATAAATAAAAACTTATAAGATAACATTCCAACACCATGAATTCATTTCACTACGAATTGTTTGCCGTATTTTCTAACCATTGTCAATTTGTCAATGTAGCTAACTTTAACATATTAGAATTTTCCTCCAATACATGGTCCTTACCTGGGTGTAATGGGTACATATCTTTCCCGGTTGGCAAGAGTCCGTTTCATAGTCATACCACTGCCATTCGTCCCACCAGCTGCTGATAGGACCAGAGCCATCAGGTTGCTCATGCACAAGACCACGCCAGAGATTCTGACCGACTGCCACATTATCAGCCGCTGGTGGAAACCCATGCTCATAGTAACACCCATCAGACCATTCCTGAGCCCAGGCTGCCAACTCAGCATCCCATATCTACATAAATTAAAAGATAATGTTTGATTTTAAAATCCATTGCATGGTTTTGGTACAAGTTTAAGGGCACGTTAAAAATAATACAGCTCAATTCTCTTTTGGATACAAATGACTGGAGTAGACTACAAGTATGTAGATCAGGTTTGCTTTCAAATTGGGAGTTAATTTGTAAGAAATCACATATTTTGGTGCTAAATTTTTGGATTTATCTGGAACCTAGTGTTTCCCACAAAAGTTTCTTTATAAACAATATGACTTCAAAGGATTGGCATCATATCTTACAAACAATGAGTATAAGTTTACTTCAGATGTTTCGAAGCAGTTCTTCCAACGTTCAAAACACCTGGAGAGATAGCAAACGGTCTACCAAGAATCACCGTTGAACTAGACGTAGAATACAATATAGTTATCGTATAACGGGCGTATCTGGACCAGGCCCGTAGCCAGAGTTTGATGTTTGGGGGGGGGGGGGGGGGGCACATACATGTAATCGATCGATGTCATGGGGAGGGGTCCAAAAAAGTTCAACCGATCTTGAAGAAAAAAAACGTGCCCCCCCCCCCCCCGCATTGTTTGCTCCAGGTGCGGCGGGACGTATTTCAAAGTATAGGGGGGGCACCAACCAAAAAGGGTACTTTCTGGAAAAAGGGGGCACCTTCAAAGGGAAACTTCAAAGCGAAAATATATACAATTTATAGACATTGGTAGGATCTAATACCCCCACATTGTGATTACATTATCAGGGATGATTTCAATGTTTATTTCTCTCTTCACATGGTCCATCATATTTATTTGCGAGCGAGCGAGGCGAGCGAACAAAAATTAAAAAAATTGTGAGGGTCGTAGTGCGAAAAATTACATATAATAAAGAGGAAAGACTGTGAAAGACTGAAAAGATTTCTATTAAGAAACTAAATTATATTAACTTAAAATGCGAGTGTAGCGCATTTTATGGTGAAAGGAAAATGAGGTACAGTTATAAGGACGCGTATTAGAAAATAAAAGGAATACGTGTCAAAGTCATAATCGGAATTATCAGAGGTGAAAATGGGCACTACTTGCACCTGATATGAGGCACACACCAGAGATGAAAAAGGGCACTTATGAAAACGGAAAAGGGGCACTATTACACAAAAAGGGGGCAATTATCAGTATAGGAAAGTGGCAGTAATCAGAAAAAGATAGGGGCACGTGTCAAAGTAAAAGGGGCATTTATCGGAAATGAAAAGAGGCACTTATTACAAAGTAAATGGAGGCACCTCTCAAATTTTAATAAGGGCACTCCTTGGAGATGAAAAGAGGCAATACAAATTGTCAAAATAAAAGGGACACCTCTCATAATTGAAAAGAGACAATTATAAGAGGTTGTAAGGGGCAATTCTTGTACCTTAAAATGGACAGTCACTCATCTGAGATGACTACGGGCACTTTTGAGAATGGAAAAGTGCACCCGAGGCATTTATAAGACGTGTGAGAAGGGGCATTTTTGAAAAAGGAAAGTGGCTCTTATTAAAAAAAAAAAGGGGGGGGCACTTCTCAGAGGTGACAAGATGCACTTATGAGAATGTGGAACAGGCACCTATTAGAAATAAAAAGAGGCACTTATCTGAAGACAAAAGGGGCACCTTTGATATGTAAAAAGGCCCCCCCCCCCCCCCTCCTGGCTACGCTGCTTCTGGTTTGCTTATTACATGTATAATATTTACATGTTTTCTGCTATCCAATATGTATTCTCTGCTTAGGCCCATATACATCCAATAATGCTTACCATATATTCCATGTTAGAAGCTGGAGGCGAGACCAGACGACGATAGTTATTATGCAGATTCACCAAATTAGTCTCTTCTTCAGCACTGAAAGGCAGCGATGTTCCAGGAGTCGCTCGTTTTTCTCTGCTCTTGGTCAAATCATCTTCAACCCGCAAAAAACTGTTCTTGTACCAAGGTGCATGTTCATCCTTAATTCCTTCTCCCAGTTTCGTCGGAGTATGTTGTCTGGCTTCAGAAACTGAATTAGGCATAAGGATAGAAATTATGGCAGCCCCAATTAAGAGCATATTCACAGTCATGAGAGAGGTCACTTCTAAACGTCTTCTATCCATTTTAGGCGAATCTCGAAAAATAAACCTGACCAAGCCCTCTCACTCATTATTCTGCGACTACAGAATTGCAAACAAATACTATATTCCCAAAAAAAGACACATTATATACTTTCTAACGTGCCGACTACCCGGATGTAGGACCAGATATGTTTTACCTGAGTCACTTCCTGTCTTTATTTTGGACATATTTCTTATTGAGTTAACACCTTTATAAGGTAAATATACAAGATTGAGGCTCTCTTTCTCATTCTCTTCTGTGTTCCATCTCAGTCCTGCTATAAAATGGAAAAACAAGTAACATCGAGACAGCGCGATTAAATATGTATCAACAGGCATGACAATAGTCTCTCGCATTTCCTTTTTATGTAAGCTCCTTTTCAACAAAATTGAGCAAATATGCTGTATCGGTCACTGTTTGTTGAAGGACTTACAAGTTTGTTTGAATGTAGTCTCACCTCGAAATCCAATAAGTATGCGAAGGTTAAGGTACTTTTTTATGAAAAAACATCCTAAATAGGTCAACATTGAGCTGTATTGTACAGTTAATATAATTTGTCATTAATATTTGGCAGTATATGGGGAGGAGCGAGATTTTTTTAATCCGCGAAAGATAACTTTCATGGGGAAGTGAGTATGCCTACATAATTAATCGAGTGTGGTAAAAAAAAATCAATCCTTTGTTGCTCGTATCAATATGGAGACGATCTTGTAATTTCACTCCTACGTGTATTTATCCATGAATTGTTTGGATTTATAGTAGGAATATCTGTCGATTAATCATGAAATTAAAGTACACTCCGATGGAAGCCTGGCCTATAAAACACTTGCATTCACATAATTTAGCCATGTCGGATTTATTAATGTCTGAGTATACATGCAATTTGGCTGAGTTATTCAATGGTATTTAGTTTTTGAACAATCTCAGGTAAATCCTGTGAATATCAAAAAGACAAACATGGGAATTCCCAAAGGAGAACATTCATTTGTATTCGAAAGTAAAAATTCAAAAAATATTAGTCCAGGCCAGTGGCGTATCGACTGGGTGGGCAGGGGAATGTGCCCCGACCCCACTTGAAGGGAGCTCAATAATGGCAAAAGAGAGGGGGTGCAAAAATACCCAAATGAGAAAGAGAAAAGGTAAAAAAGAAAGAAACAATTATGTTCCTTGAGGATTCAATATCTGCGCCCCCAAATGTAGGTTAAAGTGCAAATGTGAAAAAATGTCAAAAGTAATTATGTTGCTTCTGGAATTTGTAATTTCGCTCCCCATTTAAAATGTAATTTATAAATAAGGTCTTAAAAAGTGTTCAAAAAAATTGCAATTTTCGTGTCATTACTCCCTATTTATGAGTTTCAGCAGCTTCTTGATTTTGCGCCCCAACTCTGATACATTTTATAAAATGTAATTTTGCTACATTAATGTTATGCACGTTATTGTTAACTTCCTAGCCCTAGCTCCAGCGACATTCATTCGGGGATATCGAACGTGACGTTTGATTGCTGGTGTTTCCCATGTAAATATTTGCCAGTGATGTGCTTTTGTTGACTCACAGGTCAATAACAATAATAATATTCCGCTGTTATAAAGCACCCAACACATCGATAGAACGATGTGTCTAAACGCTTTACAGATATATTATTACGCCGGTCATCGAATCCAGGCTTACCCGCGCACAATGTTTGCACATTCTCCACTCCCCGGGGAGTATCCCAGCCAGTCGTTATTTACAAGCACATACTTACTCATTCAACCACAGAAACTTTCGCATCAGTACCGGTAACCAATTTAACACCTGGATAGAGAGTGGCAAATGTAGATTAACGTCTTGCCAAAGGACAATAGTGCTGCGGCGGGTGAAGATCCACTAGACCACAAATTTTATGTCGGTGTGTCCCATGTAAATACTTGCCAGTGATGTGTTTTACGTCACAATCATCTACACTAATACCCTTTTCACATCTATTTTTCTTAACCCCGGACTATCCTTAACCCCATACTATCCTTAACCCTATACTATTTTTTTTGCTGTTCACATCTATTTTCTTAACCCCGGACTATGTGCTTAGCCGGGGTTACGAAATTTCACGCGATTCACACTACGTTCGCCTTAGCCCCGGACTATTCGATAGCTCATGAATATTAATGCTTTTGCTACCGCGCATGCGCCTTTCGACTAAATGAAGGGGAAAAACCCGCGCGCTAAATTCAACGTGAACTGCATGCATGCGTAACGTGAACTGCATGCATAGCGCGCGATAAATGCAAATTCACGACCACACGACCACGCTGTCTGTGATTGGCTGTTGCTTAGCCCCGCTTCTCCTTAGCCCGGTTCGGATTCACACTACGCAGCTTAGCACCACAATTGCCCGGCTAACCCCGCAATTGCCCGGCTAACCCTGCTATTTTGCAGGGCCAGATAGTCCCGTACTATTTGTGGGGTTAGCCCACTTTGGCAAAACGTAATGTGAACAGAAAGCCGGCTAAAATTACCCCGGGTAATTGGTGGGGCTAAGGAAGGAATTGGTGGGGCTAAGAGCCCCCTTAGCCCCACCTATTTCCCGGGGTTAAGCAATATTTGGTAGATGTGAAAAGGGTATTTGTCGTATTATGACGTAAAGTTCATCGAACTGTTACGCGCTCATCATACGCGCAGAATGTGCGTATGACAATTGATACGCGCATATCTAAAACAATGAAGATTTGTTTCCTGGCAACGTTCACGTAGTACCGTGAAATCCAACGTCACGTCCGTATCCATGTCGCTAGCTAGCTAGCTGGAGCTAGGGCTAGCAATTTAACATAACATTAACAATAACATTCATCAAAGACTGTGAACAAGGAAGAAGTATCGACTCTAAAGAAAGAAAAAGTAAACTGATGTTTAAGATGGGACTTCCAATGATGTTGCAGCGACACTGTTGGGCTGCTTGCATGGTCATTTGCATTGCAATCAGTTCTTTTGACGATGTTGGTGCGGAACAAAACTATGGTCGGGAAGGTGAGTAGTAGACAGTAGACTCTAGATCTGTCTAGTCTTAATACTAGAGTTGGACTCTAGATCTATCAATCATATTAATTAACAAATAATAGACCTCTTTTTAGAAAGTATGAACGTTAAAAAAAAGATCCACTAAATTAGATAAAGGCCCGGCTAGATATCTCTTGACTAGCTACAGACTAACTTTAGTAAGAATAAGATTAAGAAAGTTAGGTTGGACTTGGACTCTTGGAGTTCTGTTTTTGTTCGCATCCTGATTCGAGTCACGTCTGTTGATTGGTGTTAAGTTGTGTGTCCCCACTAAACTTCTAAAGACAAAGCTGTCACTTGTCAGTGCCACTTTGCTTTTGAGTTTCTTGAGAGAAATAGAATAGTCTAACTCTAGTCTAGATCTAGATTAAATAGGCCTAGGGTCTAGGTCATACCTACTAGATCTAGTCTAGACTCAGCAATGCACGTCACTAGGCCTAGACCTCTAGATCTAGGCCTAGGCCTAGGCTATGTCATTTTAACTTGAGAGTGTGGAGGTCGGGGGGTATTGGGGGATGCTTATCAAAATAAAGCTGTCACATTTGACTTTTTGTACGTAAAAACTAAGGACACTAAGTAACTGACTCACTAGAGGTCTAAGGCAGAAAGGGATTCAGTGTCAATGACCAAGCCAAAGCCATTCGTATTGTGAATGTGATGTCGCATCCGGTCAATGGCAACTGTGCATCTGCATGTGATGGGGATGTGAGCATGAATGATGAATCGAGAAAGCTCTACCTTTCAGTTTCGACTTTCGACATTTTTAGATCTATTCTAGACCTCTAGGGGTCTAGATCGAATTTAGATCATGAACAACCACACGCATGCCCACAAAATGCGGCCATCTTCTTCGCAGTAGGCTAGGCCTAGAATCTTTAACTGTGGGCCTAGAATCTAGTCTAGTCTAACTTTGTTAGGCCTAATTGTATTTTTAACAAGTTTGAGTTTGACTATCTAATTTGGACCCCTGCAAAGCCAAAGTCTGAAGCGGAAGCTTCTATAACCTGGTAGTAGGCCTAGAGAAACAAATAAACATAAATAAAAAGGAAATCTTGATTTTAAATGTAAATCTACTTCTTTCCAATTCAAGTTGAGAACTTGTTGAGATTTTTTGTGTTTCATATAGGCCTAGGTCTAGACTACTCTTACTTTATAGACCTACCCAGACGCTGTGTATTATGTATCCGGACAGTTGATTTCCATCGGTGATTTGAAGAACTTTACGTGCAATATACCTAGATCTAGTCTAGATCTATAATCACTGATCTTAGACAATATTATTGTCAAAGACAAGTACTTAATCATGTTAATTATTTTTTGATTATTTTCAAGTGCAGTGTCCGTGGAATTGCCCACCTCTCCTCTACAATTATACATCTCATTTGATCAATACAGTATCTAATTTGTGCTGCTTTTATTCTCCTTTGCAGCTGTTGAGGGTAATATCCGACTGATTCATGGAAGAACAGAGAACGAAGGATCAGTGGAGATCTATCATGCAACTCGATGGGGAGGTGTTTGTGATTGGTGGTGGCATATGGAAAACGCAAACGTTACGTGCAAACAACTTGGCTTCCCAGGGGCTCGCCAATTCTATAGGAGGGTAAGTTTAGACTAGTTTGTTGGTACTTCCATGTCGATCGTGGTGTGAAGAGGGTGGCATGTGCCTTGACCCCCCCCCCCCCTCCCCAACAAAAAGACACAAACAAAACGAAAGAAAAAGGGGAAGCCGAGGGGTGGGGGACTGGGGGTAAAAGTGAGAAGAACATGATATGACTCCCTCTAGTCCCTCCTACACCCCCGCCCCCCTAACATTCGGTGGCCTTGTTTTCATTTCATCAACCTGGGCCCCGGTGCATGAAACTTACCATTGAATGTTAATACTTTGAAGTGTAAAGGTGTATATCTAACAGGTTTTGCTGGGTTTTATTGATTTGGTTTGTTGTTTTTGTTATGGTTGACTGTCTTTTAAGAAGTAGTATAAAAAGCCTATAAAGTGTTGGGAGCCCCCAAAATTTGGCGGCAAAATTTCACTTTTTGTCATGACTCGTGATACTCTCTTGCCCATAAAGTTTGAATGTTTTTTTCTTACCTATTTTCATGAATGATTGTGGTTAAGTCAAAGGTAAAGACCGGTAGTGGTAAATTTGCGGTGCAAGGATCTTGGATGCAAAATATCCATTCAATATTGTTTAGATATTGCCTTCAGAGGTTGAGATGGCAATACTTCAACCTAAATTCGCAAACAAAAACAGAAATATATGCCCAAATGTTTAATGTTGAAGTCCATTTGTGATATCTATCCAGGCCGGATCGATATGATAATTTATCAAATATATATTAGGCGGTTTCCCAGCAAAATTTGTATCATCACGTATTAGTCGAAACATATTCTTTCACATGATTGGTAATAAGAGCTTTCATTTCATATTTTGAGAGGGGGCGTTGCCAAAACCGGGCTATACCTTTAATAGGTGAAGTTTATATTCATTTTTCATTACTTTACCAATCCAGAAATAAGATTTATCAGTAAAATTCAGAAAAGATATAGAAACTTCATATAATTGTTACAATCATTTCATGAAAAGAGGTAAGAAAAGTTTATATTTCAAGCTCATGGGCAAAAGAGCTTGTTGATATGATTTGAAAAGGTCTAATTTACGAGATCTTAATCTTTACTACAGGCATATTTTGGCGCTCATGTAACAACGTTTTGGGTGTATAAAATGAACTGCCTCGGGAATGAAACGAGACTAGAAGATTGCTATCATCGACCGTATGGACGTCCGTGGCTCTGCAATGCACAATGGGCTGCTGGGGTAGAATGTTTACCTAAAGGTTTGTAAAGGAATATGTCTCAACAGCTCACTGAACATGTCATTATTGAAATGCATAGGTTTACAATTCCGAAAGACAAATTTGTCATACTCGCCAAGGGTTCACAATACCGTTCATTTGTTGCTTTACTCTGAAGGTTGAACATTTCGGAAGTGAAATAGGGTTTATTATTCCGAAGGTTCTAAGGTCAGAAAATCAAATAAGATACATATTTTCGAAAATGAAATAGGAGTCGTTATTCCGCAGCTTCGTGATGCTGAAAAAGATACATATTCTGTTTCGTTTGCGGAAACGGGGACATGCGTAGTAATGAACCTTCGGAAAAACGGCATGTCACACAAAATAACGTCAAAGGAGAGAGATGCGCAACGGCTTATTTATTTTCAATGAAGGTTATGACATCTCTCGCGTTAGTATCTTCAAGGTATCTGAATTCTTTGAGTGACACTTTAATTGACGTTACACAAATTTTGAAGTCGGAATGATTGTTCGAAATGTTGTAAACAAATACGAATATATCACACTGTTTCCTGAGTATTAGTGGCAGCGGACAGATCAATGCTTGGCAGTTGCCCTCATATTGGTAATTTCAAATTACGGATTAAGCGATGAGCCCATATAGAATTAAATAAGTAAAATTCTGAATGCCCATTTTGTGTCTTAAAGTGTATTTTCTATGTCATAATTATGATGCTTATAATATTTACTTGCTCCCATGAACAAAGATGAGCCGCAGGGGTCGTTGAGAATGATCCTTGGCGATGTACCCAATGAAGGCACACTGGAAACATTCTGGGATGGAGCGTGGGGCAGCGTCTGCCATACAGACTTTGGCACACCAGATGGAAATGTTGCCTGTCGACAGATGGGCTACTCAAGAGGAGTCAAATCAATCAAGACAGATGTAAGGCACTATTCCTGCTTCATACGTTCTCCTTCATTTGTCCTCTTCAATACAAACTGATCGTTGATGTTTTAATGATAAAGGACAAAATTGCAATATCGTTTTGTAAAACAAAATTATTTTTGAGTGTCAATTCAATTCAATTCAAAATGGTTTATTTCAAATAAAACTTTCATCGCGGCGTTTTCAGATTCAATAATTTAATTTTAACCCCTTGTTAACTGTTGCCCATAAAGTTGAATAATGTTTTCTTAACCTCGCTTCATGAAATGATTGTGACACTATGATTTATTCTTGATATATAAGTTTTCATCTTCTCAAAACTATATCTATCAGTCTAAAGACTCATAAAGATGTTAAACAAAATTCTGAAAAGATTTATACACTTTAACTGTGAAGAAAAAAAAACACAATGTTACGATCATTTCATGAAAAGTGGTAAGAAAGTTATTCCAAACTCAAGGGCAAAAACTGACTAAAACTGTTCAAACTTTATGGGCAGTGTGTACAAAACCCCTTTCTTTAAATGATTGAACAAGGTTCTTGCAGCTAGTACTTTGGTGATTTTTTTTCTTCTTCTTCCAATACAATAATTGTGTTTTTGTTTAATACGTGTTTTTTAATCAGGGTCACTTTGGATTCAGTACTGGACCAATCATCCTAGATGCAGTAGACTGTGAGGGTACCGAGGCTCATATCACTGAATGCAACATGCCGGTAACTCCGTATCAGCATGCATGTCCCTACACCCATAACTGGGACGTTGGTGTTGTATGCAAACGTATGTACACGTTAAAACTAGATTTAAAAAAAAACTGAATACCTACAATCCATATCGTCATCATTTTATGAACAGAATGTTTTTAAGCAGGACATATATGCGTCATCAAGAAAGATACTTTATAAGATACGGTGGTGTTAGACCATAAGGCATTGAATGAATCAAAGAAAGTATAATGAATTGAGATAATGATGATATAGATGAAGATGAAGTTATTATTTGATGGGTCACGGGGATGTGGGTCAAATTGTTCTCAGTAATAACGTCCAGTCCATGCAAGATATCTCATTTGGTACCCCTCAAGGAGAGAACTGATTCCTGTGAGTATTACCAAACACCATCATGATCGACGTCTTCTTCTTCTCTTCTTTCTTCTTCTTCTTCTTCTTCTTCTTCTTCTTCTTTTTTTCAGATACTGTCAATAAGGCGTTGTTTATTAAACTTTCCGCTGGAAACTTCAATATTTTCTAGGTGACTGAGATCTTGATTCTGTGCCGTTATTTCACATATCATTCTTTTACGCCATGTTACGCATTTCTATGCCGTTTAATTGTTCTATTCGTTTATATATTTATTTATTCATTTATTGATTTTATTAATCTATTGATTTCTCTGTTTGTATAAATGTTTTGTAAATCATCAGCCAATGTAGAAGGAGACATTCGTCTGATGGATGGTAGTGGGCCACATGAAGGTCGAGTAGAGATATGGCATGATGATGCATGGGGTACAATCTGTGATGATGGATGGGATTGGGCAGATGCTAATGTGGTATGTCGGCAGGCTGGTTACAGAGGAGCAGTCAAAGCTTCAGGATTCAAAGGGGTAAGATCAGATCATCACATTAAATTTTTGACCAATTGCAAGTTGGGGATAAAGCAAAATTTTGCTTTTTATAAGATAGAAAACTATGGTGCTCAAATATGCTCGGTTTAGTTTAGTTTAGGGTTTTATAGGTATTTGATCTAGGGTTGAAGTAAGAATAAGTTTAGAACCGTATATAATTTACACCTGGGCATGTGTCGTACAAGATATGGAAAAATGATTCACCAAAAGGTTTCTCTCAATTCCTCGTGTTAATGTTTTATTGATATCTATTATGTTTCAAATAGGAGGACTTTGGTTTTACATGGGCACCTATCCACACATCATTTGTGATGTGTACAGGTGTAGAAGATAGACTTATTGACTGTATCCTCCGAGATGGCTGGACTCACTCCTGTTACCATGTTGAGGATGCCAGCGTGGTGTGTGCAACGGATGACGATGATACCATAGAGATAGAACCAAAGAATACAAGAGGTTAGTTCATTTCATAGTGTTATGCTCTCTCGATCTTAGCCCTATAAATCACGAACAGCAGAATGAATCGTCTTTGAAATGACGCTTTTCATAAGAGGGAATTCATTGTTTCCTCCAGTATTTCCATTTAGAACCTGTATCGAAATATATACTTCTCTTCGGCGCCAAAACCCGGACAGAGAAAATATAGATCTACAGGATCGGCTTGGCGGTACTTATACAAGGCTCCTAATGAGAGTACAACATATATCTTGGCAAGAACATAAGACCATGCAAAGCCCAGATATACGAAGGGCTCCATGCCGCCATGCATATGGGCTGATGATGATAATTTTCCTCCAATTCATTCATGTTACAGTACGCATAGTCGGAATGGGACAAGGACAGGGTCGAGTAGAAGTGAGTTTGGGCAACGGCTGGGGACGAGTTTGTGATCCAGATTGGAGTGACCATGAAGCCAAGACTGTTTGCTACCACGCTGGGTACAAGGTAACTATTATTGCTCAGATTGGTGTAAGTAAAAATACAATAATCATACCCTGAATATCTATTCCCAAACAACTCCACCTCGCTCCCCCCCTTTTTTCTGCTACCCGAATATTTGGACAAGAACTTTATTGATCAATGTAAAGATTCACAAATATGAGTATTTTGTGAGGCGCCTTGAGTAGTCCTTGGGGTAAATATGAGTACATATATTTTTAGAAATGTGCTATCCATATTGAAATGAACAAATCCTTTTTATTTTTGTTGAAATGTGGGGATACCAAAGCCCCCCCCCCCCCCCCCCCCCCCCCCCCCCAGCTTCAGCTGATCATGTAATACCAATATAAGCCTAAATGAAAGTACTCTACTTTTGTTTTAATCTAATTTATAGTGGGGAGCGTCACGAGCGGCAGGCTCCGCAGAGGTTTCAGCACCCTTTGACCCCGAAGCTCCATTCATTATTGATGGTATAACCTGCTCCGGCGTCGAGAATGAAACCCTTAGCCAATGTCAGATGAAAGTTTCTGCAGACATGACCTGCGCAACAGGTGATGTCGGAGTCGTTTGTGAAGGTAGGTATTGATCCTACATGATCGACTTCAAATAAATTTCAGTGTTTCCTGCCGGTTTCGAATATTTAAATGAATATTGATAGCAAAGGTGAAAGTGTGTAGGTTTCAGAGAAAAGGCCCAATCACTGCTATTCGAGGACAGACGTGCCCTAGCTGGATTTTACATGGGCCCGATTCACAATTAAAGATTTGACATGATGTTCTCTTTGACGAATGACCCGTTATTAACTATTGTATCACCAGTCAGAACATTCATTCTTTATCATAAAACTGATATTTTCTCAGAACTTTGTCGCAATCGTTGCTTTTCCCATACGTTTCGAAAATGTCTAATATAGCGTTGTTACTTTTTAAAGCTAGTGACGTGATGTAAGGATAGGAAGTTATCAACACCATTTGATGAAACATTTTATTATCTTTGTTAATATGAATAAAGGAACATAAAACAATAGTTAAACAATTGACCTTAGTCTGTGACCAGTCAAGGGAAGAGTGTAGATGCCGCCTCGTTTTTATTTAAACATTTAAATAAATGAACAAATGACTTGCGCGTATTCATTGAGCTCTGTGTTATGAGATACAGAAATGTGAAGGTATATCACTCTACGTCATAATAAAACAAAACCACTTTGGTTTTGCTAAGTCGCTTCTAAACGAGACCTTAATAACATGGTTGATGTTTATGTATTCTTCATTGTAGGATCTACTGCTCCACCAAGTGGTATGTCCATTGCAGTGATTGGAGGAGCGGCTGGAGGTGGCGTGGCAGGGTTAGCCGTGGCTGCATTCGCGTTCTATTACATCAAGTTTGTCAAACCCGCAGGAGGCGGTGGTCAAGCTTAAATAAGAAATACAATGAAGTCAATATCTTATTCTCAGGAACATCAATCTCAGGAATCAATTCCTAAATAATTATAGGAAAGTCTCCAACGACCCAAAACGCACTAATATATTTCATAATCATAACCCCTCCCTATGATCTAAGTTAATTATTTTATTATTAACTGTTTGGAAAATATTGATGATCAATTCAATCGAATGTGTGTGTTTTATGTAACGCACATTTTGCATGTTTGATTTAATTACTCGATCAGCACATGGTGCCGATTAGGCATTATAAATCTTAAATACATTAGTCGACGATGCAAGCTGCTCAATTACCAAGTATGATTGTCGGTGAAATGTAAGATGGTATTTTCTTAAATATCGAGTTACAAGTTCATTGTGTTGGTGACAATTTCTCGAGAACAGGCTGCATTCACAAATAATTGTTTTAATGGAGAACGTTTATGAGAAGGACTGAATTTCTTTAAAAGAGAGAATTGCCACGATGCATGTGTATCAATAATTTGACGACAATCGACTAATAAATCGTTTGATTTGGGAGGTCTATTTTGAACTAATATGAAATTAAATCTTTCATTGTTATTCGTATTGTATTCATGTGTTAATGTTGAAGTTCCATGAAATTATATCCAAACAATTTGATTAAGGAATTTCAACAAAACATTCTCCGTTGAAATGTTATTTTGTATTATTTTGTTTTCTTGCAACGAAAAAGTAAATAAATGATTACAATAAAAAAAAAAACAGTCTGAAGTTTGGCGTGTTCTTGAATTAGAGGGGGAAGTAAATAGGGAAAATGATGAGAGGAAAGTTTTTAGACGATGGAAAGTATAGAGGTTTACCAGGCATAGCACAAATGAAATGGCAATTTTCAACTCGTTGAGTATTCTGGCATAACAAGTTTTCCCGGGCAACCTTTGCCATTGACAAAAATTGAGTTTGACTTTAAACCAATCAGAGCAATCTATATTTTTTTTTTATCGGGTAGAAGTAATTTGTGGATATGACGCTAGATGGCGCACTTATTAATCACGAGATAACATTCATGTACATTTCATCTAGATACGTAATTATTCATAGCAGTTCAGCGAATATAGAACTTGATGGCTACTCGTTGGTTATAACAAAAATACAGCATATTTTCAAAGCAAAACGTATATGAACAGTAGTTTGATACATATCTTTCGTTTGAATAACACGAACAAAAGTGTATAAAAGTCTTGATGTAAACTTGTTAACATAGAAACGATGAGGTGATTTAATAAAATAAAACGATCCGTATGTTGCGCTACATCTTTTCGCCACCTCCCTCTCTCCCTCTTTTTCTTCCCCCCGCCCCTCTCTCTCTCTCTCTCTCATTCTTCTTTTGGTATTCACTACGAAATTTCACACAATGACATTTGCCAAGAATTTGTTTTTCTCCAAAGGGCTAGGTTCCCGGCTAGGTTAAGGTTCGGTTTACTTACATCGCTCAACACATATCGGAAAGCACATGACGTTATACTGTATTTGTATCATTTGTTATTACTTTACCTATCTTATAAATATGCTGCATTTATTTTGCAAGTAATATAATGTTTACAGTTGAGATTTGAAAGAGGGATTAAACAGCATTTACTAAAGTCTTGATGTAGACTTATTTACAAAACGACGAGGTGATTTGATGAAATAAAACGATCCATATATGTTGCACTACGTCTTTTCTCCATCTCTCTCTCTCTCTCTCTCTCTCTCTCTTATTCTCCTTTTGGTGTTCACTACTTTCACTTTTTTTTCCTCCAAGGGGCTAGGGTTCGGGTTACTTACAGCTCAACACATTGGAAAACACAAGAGGTTATACTGTATTTGTTTCATTTTTATTACTTTACTTATCTCATAAATATGCTGCATTTTGTATGCAAGTAATATAATGGTTTCAGTTGAAATTTGAAAGAGGGTTTAAACAGCATCCTCTATCTTAATCGAACGTTATTATGCAATGTTCAAAATCATTAAGTTCAATATCGAATGCTTAAAGTTCACTGTATATCAAGCAAAAATTGTTGTTGCAACAAATTAAAAAATAAAAGTATAAAAGCTGCTTAAAAAGAAGGTTGGGCAGGATGCATGTCATGAAGATGAGAAAATCTTCATAATATTCCCCCTTAAATTCTACAAGTTTGATTTGAGGACCAAAAAAAATAATATTCACAATTAGAGACAGATGGTGTATCTATGGTTGGTGCAAATCATATACTTCTCTCTAAGATTACCTTTTCAAACACTGCAATGCAACAGAAGTTGTTGAGTAGAGTATAAGTTATTTAGTTATCCAGAGAGTAGGTAATATAATGGAACAGAATAAGACACAACTTATGAGGTGACAACCAAAAAATGTCTATATCATTTCAAAGATATAAAGCTCAGTTTACCACTTTCCAAAAGTTTGGCTCATTACACAACGTTAAACATAGACAAGTCAACTGGACTCACTATGTGTTGGCTTGCAACGTTTCATAGTAACTCTAGTTAATTTGTCTATAATATTTAACATTATTTATTTGCCACCTGGATGGTTAGAAACAATCATAAACTTTTGTTTCATTTTTTAAAAATACTAAAAAATGTATTCCCCAAGCACACTTTAAAAAAAAAATCACTTGTAGAAATCAAATATCTTTTTAACTGCACATCAAAACACATGAATACTGTCATTAAGTAATCCACCATTAGAATTGTAAAGAACACTTTCAAATTCATATCTGCTTCATAAATCACATTAAATGTGTGAAGACATCACATGATGTGTATTTAATGCAAGCTCGCAGAGTACATGTAGGTCTTACAGCTTTAGAGTCAAATGATATTTGAATTCTTGATATAAATGTCATCTGCCATTGTAGACAGACATTGCACAATTATTCTTTTGCAGTAAGCACCAACTTTTCATTGTTTAACTGCTGAATTCTAACCTTTGCATTTCATTGACGGCAATATTTTGTTGTGATCACCGAGGCCACTTCTAAGGCCTGTCTCCCCCAAAAAGTGAGATTCTGGCTTTGTCTTGCAATACCTGGGCCCCATCTTACAAAGAATTGCGATTGATCCAAATCAATCGTAAGGTCTCCAATCAATCGCAAGTTTGCAGTCTCCTATCTCTTATGTACATAGTTGCGATTGATATCAATCGCAAATAAGTTGCGATTGATATCAACTCTTTGTAAGACGGGGCCCTGGTCTACAACCTAGCCTGGAATACAGCTTTAAGGCTCATTCAGATACAAAGCGGGGAAAAAAAATTGTATTTTTCTTTATTTTTATTTTTTACAATGTGTACCGGTAAATGAATGGCAACTGTGTGCAACTAAGGTCCTACGTGCATTCACTGAACTATGTAAGAATGAGGAGCACAGAATATTAAAGTCATTATTTTAAAAAAAAAGCACTGCAGTTTAACGCATCATAACATGTTTTAAAAGCTTTAATGTGTTTTTAACATCTCAATGCCTCATTTCTGCTTCAAAAATCTTGCATCAAAACACTACAGAACCGTATGAAACAGTACTGATAAATAAACCTAAAGGGCTAAGATGAGCCATGAAAACTTGTATAAAGCTGCATTGTTCTCAAACCAGTGTACACTTAATCAGATATATAGTTGAGAGGATATGACAAGACATTACTTACAGCACATCATAAGTATTACTTCTCACAGAAGATATCGAGGCACTGAGATTGAAAACAAACAAAAAATTATCTCAAAATCCAAGCTACTTTGTGGGATATTGCAAGGTGGTTAAAGAAATATTAGCCAGGATCAAACCATGTAAGTCAGTCCTACATGAATGCTGTCCCAATAATACATCATAACAGTGATTCATTGATCATATATACATTAAGTACACAATACCAAAATAAATATTGATAAAAACAGCAGCATTTAATATGCATAGAGTAAAAGTAAGTTTTTCCTGACATAGCAACTGACCCTGCAGATATATCTACTTACACTAGAATTTAAATGGAATTTGATGTACATGAATATGTAGATGCATGGCATCAGGCATAATAACAATGCCTTCATGCAAACTGATTGATTAAAACCAAGATCCACACAAGCAGTCATTGAAATAATTCAAATTTCTATCTGAAGAAGACACAAGTCATCCAACCACTGACTAGTCCTAACAAAGCAATGGTGTTGCCAGATCTTGACAGGAATCAAAAAGATTATCAACTAATGTTGGAATAATCCTTATTCTATGATCAAGCAGGACAACAATGGGTGAGTTCTTTTTCCTTAAAGAAATTAAAGTTTGATAACATATAATTGCTCTGCTTTGCTCAAATTGTGTTAGTCTCTTCTTAATCTCAAGGAATACAGAGCAACCCTTCATTTTTTTGTTACCCAAGTACTCTCTAAATGAATAGTTCCTCAGAGCAATTTGCCTTGACAATAACATACAATGTAGTGATGATGACTATAGAGGGAGAGATGCTTGATCATGATCAGGGGGGTTCAACTCCGCTTCTGCATCCGTCTAGCCATGGGGAGATTTTGGAGGGTCAAAAGTGCACACTGCTTCCACTTTTCATGTATTAGCCTATGAAGACGACACATTTTTAGTGCACCAGCGAAATGGGGATTTTGGACTGCGCGCAGCGCGCAAAATATTTAAATTAAAATTTGGAATATTCATGAGCTCTTTTCCACCTATTAGCATATTATCGCAATGAAAAAAAGACAATGCGCATGCGTTACTATATCGACCGAATCCTTAATTGGGCCAGATAAATGTAGAACAAAGGTCAGAGTTGGGGAGGTGTGTGTGTGTGTGGGGATCGGACGGGGGGGGGGGGGGGGGGGGGGGGGGGGTTGGGGGGAGGGTAATCAACTTTCAAATGGTTCACTTCGTTGGGGCCACAAGTACATTTAAAAAAATTCAGTTCAGTTAAAAGGCAAAAATAATGACCCCATTTCACTGTGGTACCTCAATTCATTTTTTGCCTCTTTTCTTTTTGTTCATTTATTAACTTTAACTTATTAATATTTTTTAAATCAGACAAATTGCACTGATCATTTAGCCCACTTAACAAGTGATATTTTCATATCTATAATGTCTAAATAATGAATCATTCTCACCTCGACTTCAATGATCTTCATATTGTGCCCCATCCCCAATTAAATTTCAATTTTGTCTTGTTCTTTTCGTTCTTGCATTCGTCGCCTCTGATTTTTTTTAAATTTGCCCCCCCCCCAACAGTATCATTTTCAATACAGGGACCCCTTCTGATATTGACATTTCCATAGGATCTATTACCCTCCCCCCCCCCCCATCCCCACCCCAATTACCTATGCTTTCATCATTTTGGCATTGACTAATTCTTTATTTAACCCCCCCCCCCCCCACCTCATCTTTATTGTAAACCATTTTTTATACTGCATTTATACATTAGTCTTGCCCACTCTCTCTCTCTCATTAGGAAAGATGGTTAAATCTATCTCGCTGATGCCAGATATAAACAAACATCAAAAGGTCGAACACCATACTCAATTCTACACAAGACTGTATCAGCCCCCATCTCACCTCAGTCATACAGCATTATCATTACAGAGTGCCTACATCATCATAATCACCAGCACCAGAAAAGAAAGAACAGATTTAAGCAGTATTAACTAATTTATTAACTTTTATGAACTCATTTATCAACATATTTGTTTCTATTAAGATCTTTTTAAATCCAACATGACATCAAAAAAAGGATGACAAATGGATGGGGGGGGGGGTGCTGTCTCTTGAATTCAAATTTTTCAGTTGTAAAAGTTTACTGTACATTTTGAAAAAAATATTCCATAATATCAACATGCTATTTTATTATGTAAAGCACAGGTATATACTGAGTTTTATTAGTACTTTATCTTACATAGGACATTATTGATGTTGTTTTTACTACTACCGGTACCTGTATTATCATTATTATTACTGCTATTATCATGATCATTGTCGTTATTGTTACTATTTTTAATATTGTTATTATTAATGTTATTAATTATATTACTACAGTATTACTGATGAACTACATCATTTTATCCCCCCCCCCCCCCCCTTCAATTTACTATTCAGTTCAGCATCCCTAATATTTTTGTCAGAACTTGACTTAAGATTAAATATAAAAAAACTATGTTACATGTACACACATTTAAAAGAACAAATGATTACTTTCATGATCCTCGATATATCTTCTTCTTCTTCTAGAATCTTCAAAAGGCGTTGTAGCCTATCACGAAGATGAACTAATAATAACGATTACAAGTGGTGTGAGGAAGACAGAATGTTTCTAAGTGGGATAAGGAGAGTAGATGCATCAGAAGTAGTCCCTGGCAGTTCTCTGGACTGTCATCATGCACTTTATTTGCTGGAAGACAGTTCCATTAACTTTGGGACAGAGTGTTGGGCAAATACAAACTTGTCTATGTCGCTTCTGGCTTGGTGCAACTGGAGGGTCATGTCATGGTACTTCCTGCTCGTGATTTGTTAAAGCCCGTCTGTACTAGTTTGACCAGGGGGATTAGACCACCTTGCAAGGTCACTGACAGGTGGTTATCTCATCATATCAGCTCTCAATTAATATAAGAAAAAGAGGATCATGGGGGACCAACAGTCACCGATTAGGCATTGTTTGCTATATAGAGGGCACAAGTAGCTATAAGTAGTGCAGTGGGAAAATTTTCAAGGGAGAGCGGAGAGACCATTGACTATCTTATGCACCATTCCCAGTCTTCTTGCAGAGTGCCTTGTAGTTGTAGATATAGTAGGCAACTAAAAGGTGCTGATCATCTCAGTCAAACTGCTGGTTCTCTTGTGGTCCCCATTGTGAAGTAGCGTCCTGGACATCTTAGATGTTGTAGGGATCCCAGACACCGGAACAGATCTCAAGATGAGGGTGGACTAGGGACTTGTACAAAAGAAGCCTGGGTATCAAACCATGCAGCTTGGGACAACCTGCATATTAAAAACAAAAAGAGAGGAGAAATCAAATAAGATTAAAACTGCTGCATTATATTGGATTTTCAAAAATAGCACCTCCCCACTTTTTGTAGGTCTTGCATTTTAATTTTATTAAAAAATGATAAACTTATGTCTATCTGATAGGGCCTTTTTTGAAGAGAAGAGTAAAGGTTTAGATGTATTTCCAATTTATTTTAAGTTATTATTTATTAGTCCAAGATGAGTGTGATGTTGGCATGGGCTTAAATACAGCCTAAATATTTTCAAACTTTATACAAACATACCTTGCCAGAGTTCAACTTAGGTGTCCTGTTCCTGAGATCTACACCATAACATACGATGATCAGGTACTGGTAGTCTCTGTTGCACCTCTGTGGTCATTATCTGCTTCTTGGTTCCATAGGATCTACAATTAAAAGAAAACAGAAACTTAGTAAGGTTCGTGCAAGTAATAGTATCAAATGCTTGCATTAGTTATCAGTTCATGTCCTTTAGACTAGAGTTAGAAATACCCATGCCATACCAAATAAAAAGGGGGTAGCATATAGTCCTGAAACTTTACTGTAAACAAGGTAAATATTCGGACATTAGTAATACGCAAATAATATAAACCTATTTTCTCTCTAAAGTCTAAACATGTCATTTTCCTCTAAAGATTTCAAACAAGGCACAGTGCCATAACTTAGAAGTTAGAGCACAATCAACAAAAAAAAGAGTGGTGGGGGTGGGGGTAAAATTAGGAAGCTAGGAAGTGACACCCTTTTTGTTTTGTTCTTGTCTAGTCTATCTAGCCTACATCCGAACTAAGCTGGACCTGGATACATAATGCCACACTAGCATGACTAGATCTAGACTAGACCCTAGCCTAGGCCAGGGCCTAGTCTATGCCTTAATTAGCCTGAATTTTCTGTCTCTTTCGTTCGTTAGCCTCTGATTTGGGTAGGGTTGGCTAAAGAGAGGAGCCGACTCTACCCAAATCAGAGGCTAACGAACGAAAGAGACAGAAAATTCAGGCTAGATTGTGCTATGAATACTAGCCTAGGCTTTACAGTAAGACTAAAGTGTAGCCTACACTGTAAAGTTATAGCAGCGCCAGCTCAGGAAACGCAGTCGCTTCTTGGTGGAGTGTTAAACGAAATCACATCGGCTTGGACTAGCAATGAGCCATTTGCGCAGTCTACAACAGGTCTACATCTACCATTGATTACTATCGGTAATCAAGCTGTGAACCTAACTTAAAATTATGAGATGTGTTGTAATGAAATAACCTACGGTAAACTCCTGATTATTTCTAAAAATATTACCGTCGACGACTTAAATTAGAGTTAATTCAATCAGTTAATATTCTTTGGTAAGACAAAAGAAAGGGATGGGATAGGGAATAATACGTTGTGACAATGCGGAGAGCCCCTCACTGCAATGACGAACACATCACAATTATTTCAGAGACCTTCACACAAAATGGATCTTACTTACTTTTCTTGATATCATAGGGTATCACTCCGATGTCAATGTTCGCCCAAAGATTTTCTGCTTCACTGAGATGTACTTGACAAACTTCTATTATAATAGAAATTCACTTAAAAGAAAAGTGTGTCCTTGTTCGTAATTGAAAAACCTCAAAGTCGCAGTTCATACAACCGCCATTTTTCGTCATTTTCTTGCTCAAATCGTAGGGAATTCTGGGAATGCAAAAAATGTTTTATGCATGACCTAATACATAAAACATTTTGTCGATGGCCAATCAACAAACAGTAATTGGCGTATTTTTTACGTCATTGCTCATGAATATTCATTGACCCTCCAAAACCGTCGTTCAAATCGGACAAAACCCCCATAATGCATCCAATGCAAAACCTATGAAATGTCAAAGGTCACGATTTTAGTTGGCCCTCTAGTCCTCCTACGGAGGACATACGTGTATGATCGAATCTCTTTGATCATGATATATGGTCTGCTGGTGCAGCGACCTTGGCTAGCTTAATAGGCGGTCTAGCTCCATAGAAAACAACCTGTGTTAGGATAGCTATATCTATAGAGACTTGTAGTATACCACATATCCAGAACTGGGTGGGAGCATCGTTCACAAAGAAGTAACCCGTCTTGAATAGATCACCAGATAACCAGCACATCACCATCTTAACACTGCAAGAGGAGACAAAACAAAAACAAAAATTAAAAATAAGATATGAATCAGTCATTTATAGAAATACAGTCAAGCATTCTTGACTGCTTTCGGGCACTTTATGCAATCAGAATTGACTGTCTATCAATAGGTCAGAGACATTTCATCATCACACAGGACAAAATTGAACTAAACAAAAGAGTTAACATGTCTACCAGCCTTGCAAAACTATACAAAATCATTTAAAATTTGGCCAATAGGTACGGTATATCTTTACGAAAAAAAAACTGTAGACCATCAGACCATGAGACAGAAGGCCAAGAACACCAGCCATGTCAAGTCTTGTGAACCCTCTGAATAGCTACTAAAGCTAGGAACTGGAAGATCAGCATGACTGTCAGACGAGTACAACTATAAACCTTCAGATAACTTTTTCAGAAGGCTTGTGAAACCAACCTTGTAAGTCTCATGGCCTGTGAATTGTTGGTCCAATGCGCCATAGGTATTGAGGACTGTTGGTCTCCTAGGCTGCAGTATTTTTTGTTTCAGATTGTTTCATTGATTATATGTTATACAGTAGGCTTGCGGTTGATTAGATGTTGTTGTTGCAGAGTTATCTCAAAATTAGAGATCTGTTTCACATTTAAGAAACACAAGGGGGGGGATTAATAATTGTAACCTACCTCATTCCCTGTGTAGACTTGTTCCTAAAGTTGTGATAGAACTGCGGTGATCCCAACATGGCTTCAGTGAACACAGCTAGGAAACCTAACGTCTCAACATACGCGCTGAAGGATGACAGGAAGTATGTCAGGACACCTCCAGCTACACAGAACATCACCATAAACACCACATAGTCAATAAAACGAGTCCACTTCCAGAAGTAACGCCAGTCAAGATCTACAGGACAAAAAACAGAATGAAATCCAATTAACACACTGAACGTACTAAAGATAACAATAATACAACAAAAAGTAAAAATATTGATGGTTATAAAAAAAATTACTCATTAGGTTTAAAGATATTGACATTTATTACATTCATTAATGAACAATCTGCTGTCCTTTATGTTAACAATGCATCTACATAATTACATAGTGCTGTCTTTTCAATTTCATCATGATGATGATACGAGGAGAGGTAAATCCTGTAATCCTCTGTCACTTCTTCAGGGTTGGTTATGTTCTAGAGTAATGTAATTTGCACATGCGCAGGGTTTTGGACGTTTTTGATCATATTAATTCAACTCAAATTGCTCAGACCACCAGTGCTTATCTAGTCTCATCTTGAAGATATCGATGGAATTTGATTCAATTATTTCTTGAGGGAGACTGTTCCAGTTGGCCACCAATCTGTTGCTGAAAAGGCATTTCCTTATGTGTAGAAAAGACCTTTCCTTGAAAATCTTTAGGGAATGTCAGTTTGGGTATTGAGAGATAGTATTTTGAAGAGTGTAATGGCATCGCTTCTCCTTCTCCTATAGTACAGTGAGGGTAGGTCCTGAATCTTTAGCCTGTCTGTGTAGGGAAGTTCTCTCATCTTTGGCACCATTTTTGTTGCTCTGCTCTATACCCTTTCCACCTTGTCACCATCTTCCTTCCAGCATGAGTGCCATAAAGGATATTACCATACTCCAAGTGTGGACTTTCTAGTGTCTTGATTTGGAGGTGTAGAGTCGTGTCCTGCCTGGTGAAGATTATTTCATCCCTTGTCATCATATTTACAACATCAGAAGATCTACCACCATCATATGCTTCCCTACTAGTACTAGGGTAGGTACTGTACATGCAGACTGGGAGCCATCTGATTTGAAACCAGATTCATAATGGTTTATCCTTACTACATGAATTGTGAAGTGTTAATTGGATACTTCTGCATAGGACTTTCTCTGTCTCTTTCTTCATCATTTACTATGTCCTTCATGGTTTCATGTGCTTAAAACACGATTTTACAAACATTTTGACTCGGCCTTTTCTCCACTCTGCTTGCTATTTCTTCAGCATCATGTGAAATGATTAGTGCACCTTTCATTATATCCTTTGCTGCTTTCAGGGTTTAAACGTCACAGTCTGAACAGACCAATGTAACGGTTTGCTCTTGCATGAACTAATGATTGTGTATGTATCACCATGCATCTGTTGACAGGTCAAGCAAGACCATTTGTCGCACAGTTCACATTCAATCATACAATTTGTCTTCTTATGGCATTTCGAGCCCTTATAATCTTCACTGACATTGCCACTAACACTGCTACTGGTAGACCTATTGGGCTCATTAACTACAGACTTACTGGTTTCAGCTTTTGATTTTGTTGACAACTTCTTACTGTGTATTCTTGGTCTTGGGTTCTTTCTTGTCTTTCTCTGAAGAGAAGTTTACCACTCTTCATGCTTTACTTGTTGCTCCTTCTGTACAAGATCTTGTTCTGGATCCCTGGTATCCGTACAGCTACCAAACGTGCTTGATTTCTAAGTTGGTCCCATGCTAGATTTGGTGAGTCAACATCGGATCCAAGCAGAGTCCCCAGGCAGCAGTGCTTTCTTATTGATGGGTATATAGTTTCTTCAGCTTCTTCTAAACTGTATCCATGGTCAAAATCCACCTAAAATCTTCCTATTTCAATCAATCTTACTCCCAAAAATCCAATATATTGTTTTAAAAGCAGCTAATCTTTGTAGTATTAGTGATATTTGGCAAAAGAAATTTAGAATTCCAAAAAAGAGAGCTTTGATCAAAACACGTCCGTCACCCACGCATGTGCACGTACCACAATTTAGTATCTCCAACAGCAGAAACTGAACGGCCTAATAGTATGCATGTTGTGAATATATTCCAATGCTTGCAATAGATCTGTTAATTTGTTTGTCCTCTACACTATACATAACTTGCCAGAATCTGATATGTTATTTAATAATCGATAGCAGTTCAGAGACTTCTTATTTTCTAAAACTAACTAGACCTTCCTTTCTCAAATTGGCAACAATGAATAGTATTGTCCACTCCTTCATTGTTCAAAGAAAAAAGGTCAAGAATTTTATGAAAGGAACCAATGAGAAAGAATATCACAAAAATTAACCCCAAAATTGCCAATTTGCACATGAAAATAGTGATTTTATATTTCCACTGTATTGCCAATTTAGAGAAATTAATGATTACTTACAATTACATCGCTCTTGTTTGAGAACGGCAGAGCACTCTGCATTGGAAATAGACTAAAAGTGTTCTGTGAATTTTGCTCTTTAATCTGTTCATGCATAAATGTGCAATGTGCCATTCCTAGCATTCTGGATCTACTGATAATGCCAAAACGTTACAGAAAGGAGACACTGTATTGAATGCTACGGGTTAATAGATGATCATACCGAATATTGTTCTGCTTTCAACCTGACGAAGCACCTGTCTATCATCCCTGCTTGTAGGGTGTGTTCCCACGCTGGCATGACGCACCCGCCCTTCCCCATGGATCATAGGATGGGGGTCTGAACACGCTTTAGAATCTACATCTACTTGTTTACAATTGCATTCAGCCAATATATATTTAGAGTATATGGGAGCGGGATGTACATGTAGGTGGGTCATGTGTTACACGTGACAAAAAAAATTCAGAAAGGGTTAAAAATGATTTAAATAATATCAGTTCAAAGAGGGAGTATGTGGGTTTAAGACAAGAATGGTATTAAATAAAATGGTTCAAGAAATGAGTTATTTAAATGAGAGTAATGAAACAAGCAATTAAATAATACATTGGTTTTTAAAACAAACATTCAAGATATGGATTAGTAGAAAACATAGAGGGCAGCATCCGGTATAATGAATGATATGAGATTGTAAGAATGAAAAGCAGAGACATGAAATGAAGCAATAGGCATGCAGGGATGGATTAGAGACAGGTAGGGAGGAGAAAAGAAGGGAGAGAAAAGAAAAGAAAGATAAAAAGTGAAGGGTCAATGATCTTGTAGGGCGATGTTTAGAAAAGTAAGCCCTATTTCACTATCAATATATCTTAACCCTGACTGCACTGGGCTGCTGCTCCAACAGATGTTGTTAATGTTCTAATTGTAATCATTTTATGCATATTCTACATACTGAATGTACTTCATGTATTCATTATCATGTACACTGAATGGCATATTTGTAAAATAGAACTTGACTTACTGCATCAAAACATCATGTACCCAACATTTAAATAAATCTTGAATAAAAGTTAATGATTTCAAAAACTCTTTATAACTTTGGTATGGATTTCAAGAATCACAAAGATCATGCATACAAACAAAGTATCCTATGACGATTGTCTCATTATTTCTGCAAATAATGATACATTTCTATCAATAGACAGATAAAAGTGGTCTTTAAGATCTGATTTTCAAGTATGGAAAAAGAAGCACCAAGGATGCTTTCTTTCCTCTTCTTTTCTTTTTTTTAATAAATTTAGTATTCTATTTCGTTTCCAAACTTTCTATGATTTCCATGACATTATTTGCTCTTTGAGGGTTAATAAGGATGAGTTTGGCTATGACAGATGGCAATGGAGATTTACCATGAAAAGAAATCTGGATTTAGAAAGAAAATGAGGAAGTACAATCGCCCATTCTTTTCTTATTCTCCCATATTGAAGGAATAAAAGTCCAAAACTTGACAAATATCTAGGATGGATTTCCCTTTACGTAAATGTCAGACTTATATTGGGTGTGGTGTGCTAGTTTTCCATGTTGTTTACTTTTTCCAAGGACTGTGATTTAAGAAATTATGAGTGAATCAAAAGATTACAATCTACATGTAAGTAATCTCTTTCACTTGACTTCAGCCTTTTCTCTAAACTAATAGAAATATGTGCTTACAAAAAAAAGTGTATCTTTGACTAAATTTGTGTGTATATTGCATACTTTGAAACAATTATAAAGACACAATAACGAGTGAAATATTGTACATGACAAGCTTATTCTATTGTACATTGCTGCCATTCGGTTCAGATCTACATTTTCTAATTCATGCAAGCTATACATAGCCACAATGTAACAATGTCTTTTGTAAGGTCCAATAATTAAAAATTATCAATTGAGCAACCAGAGGACCTATATATGATGGTAGATGTGTACTACTAAAAAGATTCCTCCAAGTGGACCCATACTATCATATATATGCACCCTCCTTAGAAATCTGAAGAGCAGCATGGGAACATCATTTATTCATTCACTATCAGTTGATGATTTTCCATGGAATGTTGCAGAGCAACTGCTGACTGTTTCCCAACATTCCTAACAGCATTCATTTTTCTTTGTTCAAAAATATTTACCAAAAATATCTCTACTTGGCAACCTGTATCTATCTATGTCTCATTGCTTAATTGGAGGCTATTGGGGCGACAATAAAATGGACCTCAAGACAAAGGTTCTCCATATAACTTTCTGTCTTCAGCTGTTCTAGTTAACTACTCAAATTACATTCCGTCCACTACTTGATGTTATCAGTCCATTTCCTAGTTGGTCTGCCCCTTTTTCTTCTCCCATTAGTTCCTCCTCGCAAGACAGTGTTTGCCAAGCTATTTTCCATCTAGTTACATGCCAAAATAATATGCAGAAGCCTAATTCATCTCACAAGCATTAGCATTGATTCGCTTTTCCCTCTAGATCTGTCATAACTATTCAGGAATTAATTGCCCAATAACCGCAAATATTGTTTCATGAGAAAATGGGTGCTATTGTATATTATGAGGGGGAGGGGAGGTATTAAAACAAGAATTTAAAAACAAGAGAAAAGGGCATCATATGTTGTTCTACAAAACAATTCCTCTTGCCTTGAAAGAGAAGAGAGAATGTTTTTATTGCAACCAACTTGACCAATGAAGAGGTGGGTATCTACAGATAGGTTTTGACTGTAAATGATTACGTAAAGAGATTTCTTCTACTGCTTTGAGGTTATACGCACCTGTGACATATCTCTTGACTGAGGATAGATCCTGGAGAGCCTTTATTCTGGTGCATAGTTGTAATACAACCATCATAGTAAAGATCATGATAACACTCTGGGCTAGCAGTGGAAGCTCAAAAGGATGACCAAACCTAGAAACAGAACAGAAATACAATACATGTGTAAGACACTATTATCTACATTCTGTTTAGTTTTTCTTTGACATAAATACTGCAGAAAAAGAATTCCAGTAAATTATTCTGGCTGATCACTCCATGCATATCTTACTATAAAGCATAATAAAATTAAAATGTTCAAAGAAAACTAATGAACTCCAAGCTCTTCCTCTTTACTTATATCATAAACTTCAAACTGGAAACAGACGTTAATCAAAACTTGTACTAAATGCAAGTATTTGGATTTGATTATTACACAACATGACTATGTTTTCTTAAATTGATGTTCATGTATACGGATGTAGAAAATTAACTTGCTTTTAAAGTTTTTTAGCTACCTACACTACTTGTGAATCATTCAGATGAATGATCTTTCCCTTAATTTCCTACAAATTCATGAAACTATACTTCATGGCTGAAAAAAATTGCTCACCAGAACAAGATCCTGAGTGTGTTAGCAATAAGTAGAACAAGGCAGACGTGCGTTGAGAATCCCTCTGTGTTCTCTGAACGACTGATGTCCAAGTATTGTGGGATGAAAGGAACAATTCCACCAAAGATCATGGCTGCGGACGCTCCCCATGACACAAGGTTGAGGAGCGTTATCTCAGGTACTTGGTGAAGTTTCTTCTCAGCTAGGTCAGCAAACCCTTTGATCAAATCTTGCTCCATGATTTTAAGTTTCTTTGTTTCACTTAATTTCCTGTGCGTCGTGGCTCAAAGCCAAGTGTCCTCCAAACATTCAATCAATTCAGGAAATGTTTTCACTATCTTACAGATTACCATAAATCAATCATACTCTTAAAGCATAAAGGCATTTGTTTTGTTAAAGACAGTTGAATCTGAAGTATTGAGACTTAGCTGCGTAACAAGAAGTTTGACAATGCCCTCATCTGATCCGAGATACTCCCTTCTCATTAGGCCTTGGATCTGAAATGAATTATAAAGAAATAAAAGAAATATTCAGGATATTTTATATGCACTGGACTTCACATATTTTACTGCATGTACATTGATACATGTAAGTGTTTTGTCTACAATTTACACACCATTTCTGCACTTAATTGCACCCTTGTTACACACACAAATGTAATAACGCCCACAAATGTAATAACGCCCACAAATGTAATAACGCCCACAAATGTAATAGCGCCCACAAATGTAATAACACTTTACCCACAAATGTAATAATTTTGAATCACCCACAAATGTAATAATGACTTTACCCACAAATGTAATAAATTTGAAGGGATATTTTGTCAAATTTGTTCAAAACTAAAACCCTGTAATAAAGCATGGGTATAGTGCGCAGTCTTTACTCCAGACCCGGTTATTTCAAAAATTTAAAAAATCTTCAAAACTAAGACCCTATAATCCACAAATGTAATAAATTTGAAGGGATATTTTGTCAAATTTGTTCAAAACTAAAACCCTGTAATAAAGCATGGGTATAGTGCGCAGTCTTTACTCCAGACCCGGTTATTTCAAAAATTTAAAAAATCTTCAAAACTAAGACCCTATAATCCTTTTCCTGTGGAATAACATGAGAATCAAGCGTACTTTTTCCTCCAGACCCAGTTATTCAAAAGTAAAAAAAAAAAAAAAAAAAAAAAAAATTAAACTAAGACCCCACCATCTTCCAAACTAAGACCCGGTAATAAAGCAATGGGCAGGCTTGTTGGCGGATCTTTTGTGAGGTTTTGCGGAGATTTCTGCTGACTAGTCCCAGCATCCGATTGGCTCGGGATGTGATGTTGTTTATGTGGCCTTGCCAGGACAAGTTGGATGAGAAAGTCAGTCCTAGATACCGGAGATCTGTTACCAACGCAAGAGGAGTGTCTCCTAGCGTGTATGTCGTGGTGATGGCTTTCCGACGTAGGGAGAATGTGATGTGGTAGCATTTCTCGGTGTTGAATTTCATCTGCCATGTGTTAGCCCATGAATGCAGCCTGTTGAGATCTTGTTGTAGGGCTTGGCTATCAGTAACATCAGTGATCGGACGGTATAGAAGACAATCATCAGCAAAGAGTCGGATTTTGGAAGAGATCCCATCTACTATGTCATTGATGAAGGATATAAACAGAAGTGGGCCGAGAACTGTGCCCTGCGGTACCCCAGAGGTGACTGGAACCCATTCAGATGACTCTCCATCTACAACAACACGTTGTAACCTTTCAGTTAGGAACACCCTGACCCATCTGATAAGGTTGTCATGGATCCCATAGTGATGGAGCTTGTGGAGGAGGCGGTTATGGGGTACACGGTCAAAGGCTTTGGAGAAGTCTAATGCAACTGCATCAACTTGCTCTTTCTAGTCTAGAGAGTGTGCAACATCTTGAGATGTAATGATCAACTGGGTCTCACATGAATGGCCAGGACGAAAGCCATGCTGAACATCATCGAGAATATTATTTTCGTCATAGTGATCCATGATATTGCTGAAAATGACATGTTCGAGCAGTTTACTGCAGATGGACGTGATTGATACAGGGCGGTAGTTGGAGGCCTTGCTCCTGTCTGATATCACAACCACATATTCTGAGATTTTCATGGTCGCAGCTACCATCGTATGGCCGTAGGCGCTATTTGAAATTTATCAAAATTTACCGGGAGCACCGGTAAATTTTTATATTCAATTTTTCTTGAAAGCAGAAGTGTTTTAGGGGCCAATTTTTTTAGTGTTTATAATACATCCATAGGGGCATCCAAATATATTAACAAATATCACTATTTAGCCAATTTTCAAAAATTACCAAAACTTTGTAATACCTTTAAGACCCGGTAATAAAGCATGGGATTAGAGCGTAGTCTTTACTTCAGACTCGGTTATTTAAAAAAAAAAAGGAAAATCTTCAAACTAAGACCTCCCCATCTCATTCCTGTGGAATAACATGGGTATAGAGTGTAGTCTTTCCTCCAGACCCGGTTATTTCAAAAGAAATAGAAATTTAAACAGTCAAGAGTTAAGGAGTAAAGACTGCGCGCTATACCCATGCTTTATTTCAAGGTTTTAGTTTTGAACAAATTCGACAAAATATCCCTTCAAATTTATTACATTTGTGGGTAAAGTCATTATTACATTTGTGGGTGATTCAAAATTATTACATTTGTGGGTAAAGTGGTTATTACAGTACATTTGTGGGTGAAATTATTACATTTGTGGGTGTTATTACATTTGTGGGTAAAGTGTTATTACATTTGTGGGTGTTATTACATTTGTGGGTGTTATTACATTAGTGGGCGTTATTACATTTGTGGGTGTGTAAACCCTTTTCAGGTAAAGTACATGTATGTAATTGCCCCATGCACGTGCACCCACCATCCCTATGATCAGGAAGCTCCTGAGTGAGCTGCTAAAGGGATTACTCCATCAAGTATCAATTAGTAAAGATGTTGAACTTTCAAATTGATAATCATCATAATAATTTTAATTTATGATTAAATCAAGTTTAATTTCTATGTGCCTGCTACACTCTCAGAAATATGAAAAAGTATACATGTAATATAAGATAAGACATTTCTTTGTCTTTCTTTTAAATGTCACAAAGAGCATAACATTAGATCATTACACATTTGCAAAATAAATTATGGCAATTATTAACAAAGTGAACTACCGGTAGTAGATCTAGATCTAGACCCAGTAGATCCCCTACTAACTAACCCTAGTAAAAAATTAAAAAAAGACGAGACCCTGGAAAAAGAGCTTGTAAAATTATGAACTTTGGTAGGGGGACTTAAGGAACATGCATTAGTCATTACATGTAGACCTACTTGTAAAAATATTATTGTGATTTTCTTCAAAATACTGTTTGAAATTAACTGCCCGAATAAGCCATTCAATCACACTGCACGACGTGTTATGTTGCCATGCCTAGCCACACCCACACTGTACCCAAACCAGGCCAGTCTGTTTCCTGCAAACCCTGTAATACTATGTAAAGAGCGATGTACTCAATTGGAAGAAGAAGAAGGAACCCATTCAACCTCAAATTTCAAAACACAACTTGTCAACTGCCCCGATTCAAATAAAAACAACCACTAAAAATGTAACATAGGACCTACAAATTTTCAATTTTAAAAAGTTATTGTACAAATACTACAAGTCAAGCTTACAAGAATTTAAGTAAAGATATGGCAACTAAGAAGTAAGAATAAGATCCATACAATTTTCACCTCTGTCACTTGATCAGCACTGTCATGTCTTCAGAAGTTCAGTTGTTTGTATCATATACACTGCATGTAGGCGTCATACACGACACGTATTTTAATGTTTGTAAACAATTTGCATGCATAGTTTACAGCGATGAGGGCGACAAACAATTGTTTATGGTAAGCAAAAGCGTATCTCGTCGACGTCACGATGAATTGAATTAAAAGAAACAAATTATAACAGTTTTCTCGCTAGCCATAGAGTCCATAGGAGTCAACATTTTGATTAAACTAGAAATGTTTGAGAATATAAAATAGTAAAACTTGTGGCATACTTACTGTATTTTAGCTAACCTTAAAATAATTTAGGACATTTGCCTGTGTAAAAGTAGTCATAGCAATGGTTTTTCGGTTTTCTAATTAAATAGAAAATAATTTGAATAATGTATTAAAGTTATGAATATTTTTATTGTGACAATATATTTGTTTTTGCATGCAGTGCAATCTTCTCCAAACGCACATTGAATCCTGCACCACATACAAAACTGTAATATGCAAGGACACCATGGGAACTTTCTTTTCTTACTAAATAAATAATCTTACTTAATTTCCTACCTAATCTTACTTAGTTTCTTACATGTACCTAATTCTACTTAGTTTCTTACATCCTACTTTGCTTACTAAATAATTCTACTCCTACTTAAACAACCCTATACGGCCTAATGTTTGTTTCCTGACGTCACGGCATGAACTCTGCAACTAGTCGAGCTCTATTGATTCCTTTGGCGCGAGGCCTGAGTGGCGTTCCATAGGGCTCACTCAAGCGATGTAAAGCTGATTCGAGATAAATAAAGAAATTAATAATAATCAATTTGAATGGGCAATGGGCAAAGTTACGAAAAACAAGATGGTGGTAAAGCATTGCCCGAATTGTGAAAATCAGGTAAATATATCCAGCTCATGGTGTTATTTGTATTTTTGTATTTAATCCAGAGTTACAATGTTCCATTGTTTTATAGATCTATTCGATGTCTGTGAGTGTGAGCTTGAGCCGAGTTACTGTGGTCTGTGGATGACTATGGTTGAATGATGAGTATGAGAGGCGTACGTACGTGAGTGCGATTTCCTGGATAAGTTCAGGCTAGAGTGGCTGTGCATGCCCAGCGCCTGGCGGTGGCGCTTGTTCAGTAGGCCTATCCAAAATTTGACCCGTAACTCCGGCGTGGAGATACCCTACTAAAACATACTCAAACAGTAGGGGCGCTGGTCCGAGAATAAGGATCGTCTTCATAAACGAGGATCGTCTTCTTTAACACTGACCGATGCGTCCTCAAAAATAAGGACCGTCTGCATTTTTGCAGACGTTTCATATTTTTGATCGGCGCATTGGCGATGCAAAAAACGGATTCTGCAATGATTTTCTTGATGCAATTTACATTGACTTTGTACAGAGCCCTTCACATTATGAGCAATAAATCCTTGGGAAGACGGACAACCCATAAAAGTAGACGGACAACTAGGGTTATTTTCCCCCGGGGAATCCATTTTTGGCATCGCCAGCGGGCCGTTCTGTAACATGAAACCCCCAGAGCGCCGATGAAAAAAAACGTCCTCGAAAATGCAGACGACCCTTATTTTTGAGGACACATTTTGTCTTCGTTTATGAGGATATCCTTGTTTATGAGGACGATCCTCATTCTCGGACCAGCGCCCCTACTGTCAAACATTCTCAAAATGAAGTAAATATTCATTAAATGTCCAAATATATAGATCATGAGTTAAAAGTTGTTATGTTTATTACCTGTTTTGTGTCAATTTTCTAGTTATTTTTGGAGTAGTCTTTTGAAAAACGTTGATAGACTATTAGTTAGTATACACTTTTTCACAGGTTTCCGATGGTGGGTTGCAGGGGGGCGGGGGCGCGACTGTGTGAAGTTATCTACCGTAATGTCTCAGATTCTCATTACGGTAGATAACTTCACACAGGCGCGCACCCGCCCGCAACCCACCATCGGTATGCACTTGTATTGTGCAGCGGTTTGCCGTGAAACCTGTGAAAAAGTGTATAATAATAGATTTTTATATAGACTTCTATAGGCTATATAGACTTTATATACTTTATTTTTTAAATCGTTTTTAAAACCGAAAACCGTCCGGTTTTGACTGGCGGTTAAACAGAATTGGAGATATCCGTGAAGTTACAGCACTAGTATGGATAAATATTTTCTTTCTTATTTACTATTAAAACTCTTATAACTTTAAGAATAGGCTAACTAAGAACAGTTTGTATACTTTTATAATGCTTTTATATTAAAGGTACTATGTCCCATTTGCAGGCCAAAAAATGAAAAGGGTAGATTCCCGGTGGGGTCACTCCCCAGCAGAGGGTACGTGACACATATGACCGTTACCACAAATGCAAATAACCCCCTTTTGCGGTCAATTTCAAGGACATTTTGAGAAATTCAACCCCCTTTTTTACGTCAAAACAAGGACAAAATCGTCCTTTGGAATATCCCTATTTATAAGATTGTAAGGACACTTTCGGAAATTTACCCCTATACCATATTTCAAGGACACGACATTATACCCTTTTTTCATTATAACATAAAGGTGTCCAAGACCAGAGTCCTCAAATTACTTTTTTTTCCCATTAACATAAAGGTGCCAAAGACCAGAGTCCTTCAATTACAAGTTCACACACATGCAAGTAATAATCAGTTCACCATATTACTGACCTAGCTTGTATTCCTTACAAAATCTGTTAGCGTATTAGCATCATGCTGGCTCAGAACAAATTGGCGCTCACTGCACTGTCAAGTTGTGTCCTCCTCTGATCCATCCTCAGTGTCCTTGTAAACAAGGTTCACTTTCATGATGACATCTTTCAACACAACATGCATTAGTGCTTGTATTTGTAAAGTCATTTTCGCATCACTCATTTCCAAATGTAATGTTCTAAAATGTCATATACAATAATTAACATGAAAAGTTTCTTCTGCGTGAAGATCTCCTTGTATTACTTTCATCTTCGGGAAGTTCGTTTTGGGCTTACTGTGATCCGGATTCTGCCATCATCAGCGGCTCCGATAATTTCTCTTCCTGGTTTTCTCTTTTCCCTTTTCCTGACCCCTATTTATCAATTTCGAGGACACCTGTGCACCCCTATTTTCTATATTTCAAGGAATATTTTGTCCGCGGACATTGCTTGAAATTTACCCCTTTTTCCGCGATTTTGGTAACGGTCATGCGGTCCGGAAGTCACATTGAGTGACCCCACCGGGGGTAGATTCCAACAGCATTTGAAAGATAATACTAATTTAGAACTTCCCTAAAAAAGGTGGGGCTTGAAAATGTCTTCAAGTGGGAAAATAACAACTATTAGTTTTCAAATCGACTTAGGAGCTAAAGAGCCAATAAGTAATAGTCTTGATTTTCACACCATTTTACCAAATGGTCATACGTTTTATGCTGCGCAAAGATCCAATCACTTTAATTTTGGCCATCACAAGAAGTGGTTTATTGATGTAGACAAATGCTCATGTACCCTTTACAGCTCATCGTATGTATGTTATTACCAAAGAAGAAAAAAAGCCAGTCAGTCACTCAATAGTGTCTGACAGTGAAGTCTAGCAAGTAAACGGGTTTCCTTGCATAATTTGAGTATTAGGACACTGCTAACGTTTAAATTTCACAGATAGGACATACATGACATATTCATAATTCCTGCAAAGTTCTACAGAATTTGAAGTTGGCTGCAAAAGGGACATAGTACCTTTAACACAAATATGAACTGATTAGTGAATTGAGAGCTTGAAGATCAAGAAATCAGTTTTAAAATAAACTGTCAATTTTCTTTTTTTTTCGCTGCCCATAGACTAACTTAAAGTTGCCTTGAGATGGCATTCTCTCAAAAATCGCTCATCTTGGCAAGGACATTTTTGTGAAACACTGAGCGGACAAGTTGAGCGACAGCGGCAAGATGTCATTGATCTTGTAGTTATGACTGTTTCAAGAAAAACGACCCCTGGTACCGCTTGAGCCGGCATATATCCAAAAAAACAAAGGCAAAACTAGTAGAAATTAGTTATTCCAAGCTGAGGGATTTGGAGGGAGGGGACGAGAAGGGGGGGGGGGAGGGTGACCAGACGTAAAATTACCATACCATATCACTTGACAAACCTAGTGACCTCCCAATTTCAGTCACATTGTACTTATCTATTCTAGATCTACCATATTTTTTATATTCCCCCCCCCCCCCCCCAAAAAAAGGACCTGGTTTAATTGATTGTAAACATGAACATGTATTTGTTAACATTTTACATAATTACATAATTTACATAATACAACTTAGTTTGATTTTGAGATGTGAGGTAATTTGGAGAAACTATGTCTTTTCCATCAATACGGATTAGCATTGAACACTATGTGTTGCTGGTGTGTGTCTTTTTAAGGTTCCAGTAGCATGTAAAGAGTGTAGATGTGGACATGCATTCTTCACCAAGAAGCTTCTACACTCACATTCTGGAGGAGGAGAAGGAGTCTCGGTAGCAGGAGAAGGAGCAGCAGGAGCAGGAGGAGGCACATGCATGGGTAAGGCAAGACAGACAACCATCGGCAACATTCTCTTAGGTCTTCATCAGCTCCTACCTTTGTCATTCCCAAATCCTGTAAACAGGCTGGTTTCAAATCCTACCAGTCCTTAGCCCCACGTCTCTGGAACAAACTCCCCTCGTTCTTAAGAAACAGTACTTCACTAGATTTCTTAAAGGGAAAGTCCACCCCAAAAATAAGTTTGTTTCGATAGAGGCAGAATAATAAGAAAATCAGCTGAGTGAAAGTTTGAGCAAATTTTGAATGAAAATAAGAAAGTTATGAATTATTGAAGTTGTGATCAATCAAACACAAATTGGCAACTCTATGACGTATCATGCGAGCTCAACTTCCATTTGCTCAGTACTAAAAAAATCTAAAATTTTCATTTTCCCTCAAGAAAAATTTCAACCATACATGCACCCTAAATATAATAATTGCAAATATGTTTCTATACTCCCCCTGCAAGGAACAAATATATATTCCGTCATCAATAACGAAGAAAACATGATTTTATGGAATATTATGCACAAAGCAAATGAAGAAGAGCTCGTATGATAAGTCACAGAGTTGCCAATTTGTATTTGATTGATCACAACTTCAATAATTCATAACTTTCTTATTTTCATTCAGAATTTGCTCAAACTTTCACTCACCTGATTTTCTTATTATTCTGCCTCTATCGAAACAAACTTATTTTTGGGGTGGACTTTCCCTTTAAAAAACAACTGAAAACGTACTTGTACAACTCCTCTTTAATTGTTGATAGTCTAAGAGACAGTGCCTTGTATCCTTTGGAAAAGGTGCTATATAAATCCAATTATTATTATTATTATGACCGCTACTACTAAAAGCAGACAAGAGTAGCCAAGAGCAGAGCCAAAAGCAACCAATCAAGTATCAGCTATGAATCCCCTTCAAGATTGCTAAGGCGATTGTTTTTTTATGCAACATTTACAAGGAAGCTTATTTTGATCATTACCAATCGATTGGGAGGAAAAATGGAGAAATTACAAGTGGAAATTTAAGAAATTGTAAGCATTTTAAAATGCAGAATACTGTAGGCTTCATGACAGTGCTGCAATGTCCCTTTCAAATTGTTACTTTAGCCCTGCCCTTTTGCTGTCTAAGTGTTTTAAGTATTTTATCCCTGGTCCCAGTGGTCTGCATAAAACTAGATGGTATTGAATGTCCTTTTACAGCGTTTCTACTGCAAGTTATTAGGTATGAATAAAAGATAAAAGAATCTCTTGAATATTAATGCAGTCTGATGTGGCAACAGTCAGCAAAAAAAAAAGAGTCAGGACTTGGGATAAACGTTATAGCTTTTTTTTCATAATTGTATTTTTTTCTTTGGACATGTGAGATAGTGATGTTTTGACCACAAAAAAAAAGTCGTCCTGTTATGATGATATAAATATATCTTTTTATTTTCTTTGACAGAAGAAGATAGCAGTGGAGTAAAGAGAAGGCGTACTGAGAGAGTGAGGAGGGAGAGACCAGACTACTACAGTGCTAGTGAATTTGAGAATCATCTCAGAAGGGTTAGTAAAGAAGGAATAAATAGTGATGTGGATCTAACCATGAAACTAGCTTTCATCAAAATTATAAAAGATACTAAACACAATGCCTTAATAGTGGAAAGTCATGACAAAATCAGATGGTGTCAACATTTTCCCAAAACAAACAATTCCATCACATAATAGTCCTCACCATTTCTAATTCTTAGGAGTCTCACTCAACAAAATCTACTTGCATGGTGACTCATGAATCATGATAAGATTTATCTTTAGTCAATGTTGGCTATGTGCATCAACTATCAGCATAATCCATCTTTCATTATGGTTATCCTTTTACCGACTTATTCCATCACAGATATCAACATCAAAATCGGGAGAAAAGGGGGAGGACAAATCATCAAAGAAGAAGAAACATAGAAGAGGTCGACCAAAAGGATCCCAGAATAAGTCAATAGGTAAGTACATGTCACAATATCTATCATAAGTATAACTTGTTTTCATTGGTTACCCATCATTCTAATGCAATAACTCATATTTTTTCATAGAGTTATTGTGCAATACTATTTTACAGCACTACGCGCAGAGGGACATATATACAATGTGTTATATGCTATACAAGAATGCTTTTATTATTATCATTAGTAGTAGTAGTAATAGCAGTATTGTTATTATCAATTTTGTGTGAAAATGTCAACAAGCACAGAAAAAAACAAAGAACCTAGATTACAATAAGATATTATGATATTTTAAAATCAAAACCAGAAATCAGTATGAATCAGAAGAAAAAAATTCATGCCACTTCATGTCGCTAATGTACCTTATTTTCTTTTTTTGCAGAGGAGATTGAGGAAGAAAGAGAGAAAGATTTATATTCCAACCTACCAACTGAAAAGGCCTTTGTGTATGCTGTAGTTCTAGCTGAAATCAATGAGAAGCTTCAAACGCAGAGTCAGGAATGGAAACCACCAACTGATCTACATCTCAAGAAAAGATCAAAGAAAACATGACCAGAATTGAGAGTGTGATCGCTCACTCAGTAAGCAAGGATATAAATCTTTCAGACAAACATCGATGCGTGGTGTCCATAGCCTGATTCAAACTATTTCACATCAGATAGACATTCTATATGGATACAAGGAGCATTCTTCTGCATGAATGGGCTTGATGAATAGAGAGAGAGAGATAGAGACTCAAAATGACACATTTGTGGACAGTGGGGAGAGAAGATACACTCGGTTTTAATGTTACAAATCCTTGATTGTGTCATGAATTGTGAAGCTGCAATATTGAAGATGCCCCTTCCTCCTGGTCAAGGTCAAGCTAGTAACCATGGCACACAAGAACACAGCTCTAGAGGAAAATTCACTAATCTAGGCGTTATCTTTGTTATCTATTTCGCTGTCAACAGAAATTAATTATCTTTCTACTGTCATCTTTTTAACATGTAGACTACTGAATTCTCTCAGTCTCATAGACTTAATGCAGGATCCACCCTGTTCCTGCAGGCAATAGGTTAACTGATCATCAGTATATCCTCAGTTTGGAGCCACAAGGGCATTGACTCATATATACTGGAACCCAGAGTTAACGCCCTTCTGGCACCAAACAGATGATACGGCATCCAGTTCAATTGTGTTCATTTTTGCTTTAAATGTATTACATCTCAGCCACTGTGGTGCTGGAGAATAACATGCACTGTTTTTCTATCCATGGTTAATGTATCCAGACATTAACACACAAGAGGGTGGAATCCTGACAGGCTTTAGGATGAACCTAGGCTGATGAAGGTTGCCTCTGTCAGGTTTCCCTTTTCTAGGCAATATGGAGTAGATTTTAACATACAGGTGTACATGTATTTAGGTACTGGATAAAGGGATTTTGTGTGGGGAATAAGAGGTCGATGTTCATGGAGTCCTGGTTACAATATATACTATTAAAGATCTGGTCACCCTAATAAGTTTGTTTAAAATTGATAACCCATTAACTCTGCATAACTCAAAGATTCCCAAGTCAAATTTTCTGTAAGTCAAATTGATTATGCAGACCAAACTATTCATGATTTAACAAATTTTTTTGCAGTCACAACAGGTTTGATTTGTGCAGACTTAACTGTTCTTTTTAACACCTCAGAGGGGGGACGGGAGTCAAAGTTGCTACACATTTGTATGAATTCTTCACAGCATTAATGTCATCATTGTTAAGATAAGATGTCACATTTGCTAATCTTTCAGAGCTCAGATTAGAATTAATCTGGAAGTTCTTGGGCCTCTTTCAGATATGACGCAGCAGAAGCCTGTTTTTTTATTTTGATGATGATGTAGCAAAGAGCTCAGTGAATATGCACAGGATCCTTGTTGCACTCACTTGCCATTCATGTACATGCTTTAAAAAACAAGCGTTGGTTTACAGCCTCATATCTGAATAAGCCTTAACTGCTGCTTTAGTATTATTTTTCAGATGAGATTTGGAATTCAAAGATTTAACAAAAATACATCCTTAATGCTAAAAAAATTATACCTGGTAATTAGTTTTCAATGACAGTTTAAAGAGTTTGACATACAGACTTGCAAAAGATTATCAGATCAAAAAGGTTCTTTTTTGTTATTTTGATAGTAAGATGGACATAAAATACCATGATAATTACTAATTAGGTACAATTGGTAATATATGTCATTAGTTCAAGAAAATCTAAAAAATTTGTTTTCATTATTTACATGCATGAAATAATATTCCTCGATAGGGAGCTTGGTCTAATTATTTTTCCAGGGCTGTATTTTTTTACATACACTTGCATTCAGTTTCACTCTCACTCAATGGGCATGTACATTAGAAGAATTGACCCTGAATTCATTCGCCATTTCCTATATCTGTTCAGAGTCTATCACATCTGTCACTGTCATGTTTGAAACATCTAGCATCAAAGAAGGTATAAAAGCAGACTGCACTACTTGTACCTACTTACGCCCTCTATATATCAAACAATGCCTTAGCGGTACCCCTTGGTCCCCCATGATCCCCTTTTTCTTATGTTAATTGAGAGCTGATTTGTGAGATAACCACATGTCAGTGACCATGCAGGGAGGTCTAATTTCTCCTGGCCAAAGTAGTGCAGATAGGCTTTAATTCATTTATTTATCATTCAATATCTGCCAGGTATTTTAGTGAATATTGTAAGTTAAGAACCTATACATTCGCACCTCTTTAAAGGCCTAGATGATCCATTCAAAGTAATATAACGACTTGCCTAGCTTGAAAGCTAACATTAATGCTCCAAAAATCAGGGGGATGATTTTTTTTTTTTTAGTAATTAAATAACATCCTTCCATTTTCTCCCTGTCTATCAAGCTTGTTGAAGTTATACATGTATGTAAATGATCAATCACTTGCAAATTTAAGTGCATTTTGTATGTTTATTGGTATGAGATGTCATGAAGTCAATCATCTATGTTGAAAGGTGATTATTATCAGAATTATATGTATACATTTTATTGTCATTTTATAGATGTTTGATACAGAAAATAAAATCATGTCTTTTGATATATTGGTCATGCTTAAAGAAAACAAAATCTCCTCCGCGTGTCCTAACTACCTGAGTTTTTATTACAAAATGGTGATGTTTTTTGTTTTAATCTGAATTTAAACACAGAATCGAGACACTAAGGTCCCATCGCACGTGACTTTGATTTCCATATGATTATAGTATAGATTGTTACGTGCTGAATATTGAAAATATGAGAGGAAGGGGACTCTTCAAGCAAGTTCTAGGAATTGTTTCCCCCTCCATATAAAGGGGGGTGGGGTATTTCACCCGGAGCGTATGGAGATGATACTGATATAATATCCACATGATTAATCAAACATGGGACTTCAGCCTACTTGGAGTGGCAATGGGGGCATGTGCTCCCTCCACTTGAATGATGAGAAAGAATGAGAAAATGAAAGGGAGAGAGGACACCAGTAAGGACCCTTTTTAGTAACTGAATATGACCCCCCCCCCCCCCTTCATGATGTCGGTGCCCCTCTAATGGCTGGGCCCTTGCTACGCCACTGATTACCACTATCATATCTTCTTTTTCTTCTTCTTCTCCTCTTTTTTCTTCTTCTTTTTCTTCTACTTCTTCTTCTCCTTCTACTTCTCCTTTATCTTCATCTTTCTCTTCTTATTATCATTCACCATCATCTTCTTCTTTGATGTTGTCTGCTTCCTTCAACCTTAGAGATTCTTGCAGAACTTTGAGATATGTGTCGTTAAAGTGAAGTGCATCTGCCAATAATTTACAAGGTGCAAGTAAAAACAGCCTCCAGTCGATTAGAGATGAAAGGCTTGGAGAGATGACAGGGAGGGTGTTCCAAGGAGGAGTTTTAATGTTGCTTAGTCCTTGAAGGAAGTATGAGATATTCTTGTGTCGTGGTCGAGTGGATACGTCGCCGGAATGTCGATCGCAAGGTCCGCGGTTCGAGTCCCGCCGCGGCACTAATGTCCTTTGGCAAGACATTGATCTACATTTGCCACACTCAACCCAGGTGATGTAAATGGGTACCTGGCAGGAATGAATTCCTTGAAATGCTGGAGCGCTGTATAAACGGCAGCTAGCCTAAACCCGGCTAATAATAAATGCGCCTCGGAATAGAATTATCTAGATAGACGGCGCTATAGAAATGCCTATTATTATTATTATCACGTGTGAACAGCTCTTGTTGGTCTGATAGATTTGGTGATGTCTGCCTCAGAGTTGAATGTAACTAGCTGGTTGTTGATCTTATAGAACTTCACAAGACAAAGGTGCTCTCGTCTATGTTTAAATAATTGAATTTCATGTATATAACAGTCTAAGCTAACATTTACACTAAACAAGTAACACATCAACCATGAAATAGAGGCGTTTGAGGGAAGGATACGAAAAGAACAATACCTCGACAGTTCTCTTTCTCACGGCACACCATTATCAGTTTTTTCTGAAGGACTTTACAATGACAAATGTGTCAGATAATACAATTTTCATGAATTTGTATGCAAAGTCGAATGACCTGAAAAAAATTGCACTCGTTTTGAACTTACTTCCGGATATACATGAACTGACACTGTATAGTTGCAACCTGTTTGAATATCGTTACATTGATATTTTGAATGAGTTCATTAAGCGATGAGTGTTAAATTTCCCACGTCTCAGTATTGAGGGTCGGTGATGAAAGCCGCCAATTTTATTATACACTGTTTTCTTGTTCTAACCCCCCCCCCCCCCTTTCCTCTCATATAAGTTGTAGGCCCCTATGTTTATTTAGCTTTCGTCATCTCTTTTCATCTTCATCATTTTGTATCATGCTACACTGAACCGTTGTACCCTTCTCTATCTCAATCTGCCATTGATCTTGATCTTCGTAATTATTAATGCGCTCCAGGCTGGTTGTACCTACAGAGAAATTTTACTGTATTCACTCTTTTACTACGACTTGCAGGAAGATTTTTTACATCTCCGTTATCTGTTGTGAACAAGTGGATTCGAGTTTCATTTTGACAGATCTTGTAACAGATTTAACTAGATATCATTTCATCATCTCATGACTGACCAACAAAGATGAATTTGTGAAACATTGTAGAGTAAGCACTATGCGCGCTAGCTACCACAGACTGACACCAGCGCTATACAAGAACCAATCGTCATCATCGTCATCATCATTTTCATCATTCTCGTATCCTCTTCATAATCTGATCATCGTCATCACCATTCTCCTTTGCTTTTACAGGTTGGAACGACTTACAGCCTCGCTTGATTTTCTTGGTTAAGACTTCGTTTATTTTTAGTTGGGGTGACGTATAGACTGTATAGATCATCCATCTTGAATGCGTATTGACTTCATAAAAGTAACTCACATAAGCATGCCATTTGATTTGGTAATGGTTGGTCATGATTTTATTATCTATGCCAGCGAACAACGTTACTTTCGTGTGTGAAAATCATGCCTTGATGTTGAAATCTGCTCAGACATTTAAATTTGGTATATAGGGCTATTGGCAGACATGTCAGTTATAACGGTTATCTGCTCCCCTACTGCATATCAGAAAATAAGTGAAAATGGAACAGTTTTGACCGATTATCATCCATCTTTAACCCCAATATGCCCCCAAGAATATAACCCCACTGTGACACAAGTATGACAAGCAAATATTGCAAAGTAATCAATCGGAAATTTAGCAGGAAATTCCATTCTTTTATTGTCTATCATTGCATTATAGTGTATTATTCTTTCCGCGGTCAATTGGACACCTTCCTTTCTCGTATACTTTTTTCTTCTTTTTCTCTCTCCCTCTCTCTCTCTCTCACGAAGTAGTGACCTATCTTTCCTATTATAATGATTGTTTAATAGCCGCTAATGTTGGGATTGTTTGTACGAACTTTTTTCAAAGGCACAGTTTAAAAAAAATCAAGTCCCCCCCCCCCCCCCCCAGTAAGATGTTTCTTTTTTTCTTGTCAGAATGTGTTTTTATGATGAAACCACCCTGCGCTATTTTCAAAACATCAATCAATCCTCTTCTCAAATCATTCAATTCATTTCATTTATGAATCATTAAAATTCATAAACAAATGCAAAATAAATTTCATGTATATAATATGTATGTACGTGTGTATGTATGTACGTGTGTGTGTTTGTTTGTATCTATGTATGTATGGTAGCTTATAAACCAAGCCTGGGCATGTAAAATACCTAAAGTTTGTTGGACACATAATTGCCTTTATTTCTTTAGAGTGTACAGGTTATCAACTACTGGAATGGATCTTTCTCACCCAAGTCATGATTTTGTCACTTAGTCAGGAACAAGAAGAGGTCGATGTGTGTTTTGAAAATCATTCATCGGAAATAAAATCCATTCTATAAACTGGAAATAGTCCAACGACTGCGAATAAAGATATGTGTTTGTGAGGAAGCCAGATAGTTGAAATGATCATACCTGACGATCGTACATCATTATCATTTCCACTCATGCCATGGTTGAATTAATAATTATCCTTAGTTTGTTTAATCAGGCTACATAGTCCAATCCAAAGTGGATCAGGATAATAATAATAAACAAGTTTTCTAGGTTAACTATTTTCTTTCAGGAAATCAACACCACTAACCGAAGGTGAGATAAGACTGTATGCATGGTCGTCTTGGAAATACGTCGAGATTAATTTTGTTTTCACGACCCAAATTGTTTCAAACTTTTCAAACGTGAATGTTTGATTGAGTCTAAGAAATGCACACTCTTTTTTCAAAATAATGAGGAGTCCATGTCCAGATGTCAGGCATAAAATTTTTCCTCCCCCTCCTTCTCATTTTCTTCCTCAACTTCTCCTCTCCCATCCTCCTCGCCTTTTTGCCTAGCTGCCCCTTCTTCTCCTCCTCCTCCTCCGCCTCCCCCTCCTCCTCCTCCTCCTCCTCCTCCTCCTCCTCTTCTCTTTACCTTTTATCCATACAAGCAGTTATTGGCTGGCATTAAATCATGCTGTTCAGAAATTCAAT